ATACGTGTTGGCCAAGATATCATGTTGTGTCCTTTAATGTCAGATACGGGTTGGCCAAGATATCATGTTGTGTCCTTTAATGTCAGATACGTGTTGGCCAAGATATCATGTTGTGTCCTTTAATGTCAGATACGGGTTGGCCAAGATATCATGAACCATATCATTCTCTGTTTTGAGCCATGAAATATTGTGTAAAAATTTCTTTATGATTGGTCATGTTTAACTCAAATTATCCTAAAAATAACTACTGACACCATAAAATTTGTAGTTGCATAGAACTCTAGAATCTAATAAAAACTTAAAACAAGCATAACATTACTCAACCAAATTATTAACCATATGCAGTTTTACTGCAATGGGGTTATCAGATTAAATAATAAATATTATTCATAACTGTTGGATGTTTGGTTAGATTGTACTTTCAGTAAATTCTATGATAGAAAAATAGATCGTTATATAGTGTTTTCCATTTCAGACTATTCCATTATGTTATCAGGTCTTTCAACCTCTTTTCTCAATTTTCAAAAAGTTACATGCTCAAAATGAATGTCATAATAATAGGAACTCTCATTTTTATAATGTCTCCTTTCCAAAAAAAACATATGCATAAAAACTGACATTTGTTCACCAAAAAATCATGTCAGTTAGAGAGAAGATTTATGTGAACATTCCCCTCCCCCTAAGTGGTTTAAGATGAAATCCTTTAATATTACCGGTTCCCTTCGCACTGTTTCAACAATTTTAAAGCCTGTGGTGTCCTCTTCCATATTAATCCATCAGTATTCATGCATCACACTAATCCTAATTGTATGTAAACCAAAATCAAATTGTCCAGCACTCAAAGTCTATTCCCCATTTTACTTTTGTAAGTTTATCATTTCAACACTTATGGAAATAAACTTTCAGTATACTAGATATAAAGTTCTCTAGCTATTTCCTATTATAAATGAATTTGTCACCTTACAGTAAGGACTTAACAAACAATTAATGTTCCGTGTAATTGAACTTATGAAGAACAATACAAATTTATCTATTTCACGAACCATACCCCTTATCTGTTCTTACTCATTCTAGCCTTTAATTAAAAAACATTTAATATATGAACTATTAATTATTATCCAATAAAATAAGGATAATATAAGTGATAAGGTAAGGTAATTAACAAATCATTTGCACTGACATTTAATTACCTGATTCTATATCAAAATATAGATGTGGAAGTTAAATGCTGTTAAGAAAATAGGGTGTCAGAGCTGTTGTTTAGTGCAGGTTTACTGATCAAAATCTTTCAAAATAAGTCGTATATGCAACTTATAGTACAAGGGAGATAACCTAGTTAGATATTGTGCTTTATGAACAGTATTGAGAGGTAAAATAGAGTTGATTCCCTTAGACCAAAAAAAGATAACTGCTGCAATATTTATTCTAACTTATAACAAGATTTATGAATATTCTACTTCTAGTAAGGTTTTTAAATTATCTTCCTTAACAACACACAATATAACACCATACATATGTTATAGAACAGACATCTGAATATTATTTATTACATTTGTTTCATGGAAAGCCAAATATGGTAATATTTTCTCTACAGGTCTAGACAGTTATAGACTGCATGATTTAAATATTGAATTAAAAGTTATTTGAAATTCTAAACCATGTTTGCTATTTTGGTTCACTGTTTCAAAATATAAAGTTAATTTAATGGTTAACTAGAAAATTTAACCAAAAGGAAACCAATACTTATAATGAGTAACCATAGCAGCATTCATATTTTTTTATCAACTTTTTGAAAAACATTTGGATTTAAAAACTTTTTATTTGAAGTATTACGTTAATAGCTATAAAATAGTTTCTCCCAAAATTTTCTGTTGTTATTAATCTGTTGTCAATGTTCCCCCCTCCCCCCAATGAGATGTGGATGGAAACAGCATAAAATCAGCCTTTTCCTTGATTTTCATGAAATATGTGCACATTGTGTTATAATAATGTCACAATCATGTTATTCTTGTCTACTTCATGTTTATTTCCTGATTTTAGACATTTCCTGTTATATGAGCATATTTGAAGAGGATCTAAAATCCAATTTTTTTCCCTGCCAAATATGGGCATTAATGCCACTTTTCCTTTTCACCAAAAGATCAATATATATAGAATAACCATACATTGTCTCAAAATATAAATTTTATTTGTACAAGGCTTAGAAACAGGTAGAAAGCAAGACTTTGCCGAGCATTTCTATCCTGTTTTGAGCCGAGTACAAATAAAATTTAAATTTCGAGACAATGTATGGTTATTCTTTATATACTGCAACTCCTATAACTGTTCCAAATGAAATATTTAGGGTAAAAACCATCATTTTTTAATTTTAAGCGGGCGACGTAAAACTTCTGCGAACCTGTATTGGTTATCGACGTCATAAGTAAAACTCCACTAAATGCATTGTCAACGTCATAAACAAGCCAGTGACTGTATATCACAAATGAATATATGGTCAATGCAATTTGACTGCGCAAATAGCACAGCTGCAGTATATTTTACATTATTCTTGTGGTGTTGATGATTCAAGTAGAGATAACTAACCTCTTCCTCATTATGATACAGAATATTTGTAAAGTTAGCATTTCAGAGATCACTTTAAATCCAATTAGTAAAATAAAAACTGTTTGTTATATAAGGATCACTTGCTAAGGTATCTAATGTAGTTGAAGAAACATTTCAGCTAGTTCTAAGGAGCACTTCATAGGGTATCCAATTTACTTGAAGAAAGACTTCTGTTTGTTCTAATGAGTACTTCATAAGGAATCCAATTTAGTTGAGGAAACATTTCAGTTTGGTCTAAGGAACACTTGATTAAGTATCCAATTTAGCTGTTGAAACTGTCTTACATTTCAAAGGAGCAGAGCCAGTAACCCCAATAAAGGGCCCTGTAGAGGTGTTATTTTTTTATTTCAATTGTTTGAGTAAATCTTATGTGTATGCATTGCTAAGTGTGTTATTTTTGAAAGTATAATACACATTTTATGAAGATATAACATGGTATTCAGAATTAAGTAAGAGTCTGGCTAATCCTGATTGGTCGATGTGTGCAGCTGGTATTTTTTATTACTAGTGCACTCTGCATTATTCCAAAGGCAAAATATATATAATTTCCTTAGCCCCTAGATAAAGGAACTGACAGTTCTTTTCTATGTTGTGATGAGACTCACATCTTAAACGACCTAAAGTGCAAAATTGATAGGCAAGGGAGATAAGTACAAATTGCCTTAAGAAAAGCAACAGCCAACTACATTTTTTTGGACTGAAAATTACTGTCCAAATATTTTTCCATTTTTTCTAGTGAGGTTTCTTTCAAAAAATCAACTTTCTTATGTCTATATCTCGAAAAAGGCTACTATTGTCGCCTATGGGGAAATTTTTTTTTTTTTGTTATCTATAACCTGGATTATAATGAAAGAGAAGTTATCAGTGAGAAATCTATTGTGCATTCTGATTTGTCATAATGATCTCTATGTAGTGTTCTCCCAACATAACACTCTGACTCAGTCAGAAACATTTTGTAAGTCGTTCAAGACGTCAGATCCATAAACTTTTATTTGGTTATTGAAATCTCAAATAAAAATATATTAACCAATTACATTCTTTGTTCAGTGTATTAAAATACAATGTGAATAAAACAATTAATGGATCTAAATGACAATATTATTTGTAAATAAGGTTATGTGAATGTTTACACTTTGATGGTTGATACTTAGATATTGACTGTTATAATTAAATATTTACCAATTAGTCTTTCAAACTTTGTTCTTTTTATTTACTTTTTCTAATAATGAGAAGGTTCCATCTCAATAATTTCTTTTTCTTGTCAATATAGTAATCCCACCTTTTTACAAAATCTGACATCAATAAATTTAAAACCTTTTAGATCTGTGCTGAAGGGGAAATTAACTTTACGTGAGAAATGCTCATTTCTATTTGGTTACTTCATGGAAACCAGTAATTATGACAAACTTTTTGCAAACGATTATACAAATGTGCACAGATTTTTATACTGAATAGAAAATTAATCGCTTGCTACAGATTATCTTTTTGTTTATTTGGAAAAGGCTTTTACCTTTTAATCTGTCAAGCAAATATTATTTAAACATGAAAAGATTATAAGAATGTCTCCATGGAAATAAATAAATAAAACAATTATAATTAAAAAAAAAACTCATTTGCTGGTTTATTTTTATAATCAGGGTAAACAAAAATGAAAATTTTTATGAAACAATCAAAAGCATTATGTAAAGTTCTAGTAATTTCCCATAAAAAAAATGGTGGTTTTTTTTTGGTACTGTACATTGTTGGGCAGCTGTCTAATTGGTGTAAAGTTTCGTCTCATATTTCTTTAAATCTTATCCAACTAATCATGATACAGTTATTATTTCCAAATTTTCCACATTGAAATATTATATTACAAGTATTTTAAAAAAAAATGAACATATATTTTACAATCAATAAAGTTAATAAATTAATAAAATATGAAGCAAAAATTTCTATATTTTCAATATTTAATATTGATATTCAACATCAATGACACTGTTTCCATTGATTTTCCAAAACGACACCAGAAATTTAATAGCAGTTGAATATCTGAATCGATAAATGTCAAGAGTTTGGATTTTAAAAATGCATTAATATTATACATATAAACATCAGGTTTAAAAAGCTACGTTTTTCAAGACTTTATATTGCTTTTATGTAACAACTTTGGCATTTATCCTTTAATGTTTTTTTATAAAATTTATGATGTTGATAACCTTACTGTGCAAATATGTGTACATTACAAAATGCACATTTCATTTAACTGTTTTCATTGAAGCCTTTGTCAGAAACATCTATCCTCACTGAGGTTTCTGTTCTAAATACAGGGTATAACAAAACATGTTATGTTTCGAAATATTATAAGAACAAGCAGAACAGGAATTGATAATTTGGTCAAGATATTTATAACTTACCACATCATCCAAAGTCACTTCCTCAGGATCTGAAAAAACAAATATTTCATTATCATAAAGACTTAGATGAAGTATAATTGTTCTTTCTCATCGTGGATTCAAGAACCTGGTGTTTTTGTTTTTGTTTTTGTTTTTGTTTTTTTTTTTTGTTTTTTTTTTTTTTTGGTTGACCACTTGCATAAATTGTCTTCATATTCTTATTTCTTTCTTGAAATGTTTCTATATGCACTTCATTTTTCTGATGTAAATGTCTGATTATTGTCAAGGCAATATGCAATTAACTTCAGCATACTATGGAACTAATCTACAAATGCTAATATTCTTCCACTAGTGTGCTACTTTTAAATAGTTGGATTTACATCTAGTCTCTTGCACCAAGATTATTTTGTTAGATTTGATTATCCCAAAATAGCAATTGTCTAATTAAAATATCTATTATGCATTAAGCTTCATAGCTGAATTCACTTTAATTGTATTGGCCTAAAAAGCCAGCAGTGTAAAGAAGGTACATAGTGTGTAAAGGTGTTGTAAATAGTCACAAATTTATCATATTGTCCTAAATGTAATGAAATCCAATCTAATAATTAGGCCAAAAGCTGGTCAACTAAAAAATATCCCATCGATAATCTGTTACTTCTCATTCTTTGATAATATGACAATCAATATCTGAAGGAGCCAGAGCAAAGATGAAAAAATGTCATTTTCATGATTTTTTTCAAAATCTGACTGCCAATACATTTATTAGACAAATGTAGGTCAACATAAATTAATGTTCCTAATGCATTCATATACCAAATTTATCTCACTAACTGCAAGGAAGACTGACAAGGGATCAGAAAACACTCAAAGGTTGTAATAAGGTAAAAAGATGGTCAACCAGTTAACACACCAGCAATCTGTATCTTAAAAAAAAAAACGTTTTGCTAAAAATCGGTTCAATATTTACTGGTATAGCTATAATATCTTATTTGCCTGTTGAACCCCATCAGAGAGGAGGGGACTGGGTAGTAACCCTTGGCTAGCGAAGATGGTTGAACCCCAATGTTTAATTTATGTTGGTTTGAACTTTATAACCATTCTGAAGATCACTGTCCTTTGTATATGCGCTGGGGCTTGTGATTTGAATCCAAGTTAGCTTGTATCAAGCTTAGGTAATCTTCTTTCAAAAATGTGTATGATAACTCTTCCAGCAAAATTTTGACAAATAATATTCATTTCAACAGGGTTCTGTGAGCAGTTTAAGGCTAAGTTTAAGGCTATATTAATTTACAGGGATCTAGGGAACCTGTAAACAAATGGATATTAAGCAGTTTTAGTCGTCAAAACCCTTTAAAATTAATTTATAATATTGAAGTTTTGACATGAACATATAGATACATGAGGGATGTGCATAGCAATTTGGGTCTGGGGTTATATCAAGGTTTCACAGTACAAAGTGTATTATCGTTGGCTGATTCATGTCAAACAAGTCAAAATAGGTCATGCATGCTCAGGACTTGAACAAGACAAATTGAAAGAGAACAACAGTCATAACTAAGACAGTCACATTTATGTAGTATAACTGTCATATTGAATCATGTTAACTTGCACTATATCTTATTCAAGATTGGGGCCTACTTCAATTATGGTATCTTTAATAGTTTGTTAATATGTTTGTAAACTATCTATAATGATATAATATTTTTCTAAGCTCTCTTGAATATAATTGTTATTTTTTATATTCTTATCTGAAAAAAAAGAATAGAGGAGCATCCTGTATATATAAAGTAATACCATTGGCAGATCCCTGGGGGGTTCTTGCTGTCGGAACCCCCCCCCCCCCCCCATTTTTTATTTTTTTGAAAATCAATGCTTTTGAAAGGGGACATATGGTTGGAACCCCCCTTTCTCCTGGTATGGACCTCCCCTTTCTCCTGGTATGGACCTCCCCTTTCTCCTGGTACGGACCCCCTTTAAAAATGGCTGGATCTGCCCCTGAAAACTACTGTTATTCAAGGATTTGTATAGTGAGAAATATCACTATACAAATCTTTGTGTTATTGTAATAGCGTATGGTTAAAAGCAAAAACAAATTAAACAAGTGAAAATAAGTTAAAATATAAAAGAGTATTCAATAAAAAAATCAAAACACAAAAAAATAGAAAAAGGGGGATTCATTCCCCAAGCGTCAGTGCTCTGTTTAGCCTGGTCCAGTCACAGAGGTGTAATCTTTTTACGTTGACCTTAAACAGGGACTTTCTATACTATAGTATAGACTGTCCCTGCCTTAAAAAGATACATAAGAGGGCTCAATTTTGTTGTAGTCTAGATGTGTAAATGGAAGTTGACAACAGTGATTAAAACCAGCCCCAACTATCCACTTGCGTTTGTAACAAGTGTGGATAGTGGGGGCTGGTTTTGATCAGACTGAGTTGACAATAAACTGGAAACCTTGAGCACCGTCCATACTTTAAAAGGGTAAACCTGAAACTTCAATACTAAGTCATTGAATCTAGCGAAAAAAATCCGTATACAAACCAGGGACAGTCTATACTAACTTAAGTATAGAAAGTCCCTGTACAAACTTAACCGGACAAAAATTGTTATCGTCCGGTGACAAACAGCAGTATTATCTATATATTCAGACTGAGAACAAATTAACTTTTTTTATTTGGTAGGTTCTGCCTTGCACTACTATAACGTTATAGTAGTTTCAGGTTCTGCAAAGTGGGTCGACCAGGAAACTGGATGAAACGCGAAAAATTCAGACTATTAGAAAACTGATTCCATTGGGTGTTGCATGGAAAGGGAGAGAAACTAGTTAATTTGGCCTTTCAACTCCCAAATAATTTTTGGGATGCAACATGTCAACTACGGACTCCTTTTCTTCTTCTTCTTTCAATACATGCAATCCTCTGTAATTGAGTATTATCGCACTATTGCCCTGGCTGGGTAGGACAAAAAAGGTGCAAGAAAATATTTACAGGTGGCACCGTGCACGAACCGTATATATATTATATTGACTTTATACATATATACTGTTCCCAGCTGAGCACCGTGCAAGTTAAAACAGTCTGATGATGCGATTTGACCCCCTGCTTGAAACCATCTACTGAAGTTGTTCCATATCCGTAGTACTGTTTGGGAAGAAGGAATGACTGTATGTTGATGTTCTGGCAAGACGGTTTTCACGTACAGGGAGGGGTGGACAGGGGGTACCCTTCTCCCACCTTCCGCCCCTATCTCCCACCTCCCACTTTTAGAATCTTTTTTTTCTCTCCCACTTATTTTTTTGTCTCCAACCTCCCACCCCCTTCCGCCCACCTCCCTTCTCCCGCCCCCCCCCCCCCCCCCCCCCCTTCGCCCACCTCCTGCCACCCCCAACCTCCCACCGCCCTCAAAAGCTGTCCACCCCCTCTACAAGGAGCATAATACTTTCTCTATACAAGAGGCACTAAGTTCGACAAGGTAGTGCAACATGCTCCTCGAATCCTCTAACTGTAAAGTTATATGGCTTTTTTTATCGGGAATATAAATAATATTTTAGGTTGGAGAAGTGGACGGTAGAAGAAAGAAAACTGTGCATCCTGTCCACCCCTCATATCAGTTCAGCTGTGAAACTTTCTAGTACCGTGATTCCTAGAAGAAATAGTCGCGGATTAAATTTATTAAATAAATTTGATAATCATCCGTATAAGTGGTTCCAATTTTATTGAAATTTAATTTGAAAACGCAATAAAGTTCATTTTCAATAGATATAGGAAGATGTGGTATGAGTGCCAATGAGACAACTCTCCATCCAAGTAACAATTTATAAAAGTAAACCATTATAGGTCAAGGTACGGCCTTCAACACGGAGCATTGGCTCACACCGAACAGCAAGCTATAAAGGGCCCCAAAAATTACTAGTGTAAAACCATTCAAACGGGAAAACCAACGGTCTAATCTATATAAAAACGAGAAACGAGAAACACGTATGAACTACATAAACAGACGACAACTACTGTACATCAGATTCCTGACTTAGGACAGGTGCAAACATTTGCAGCGGGATTAAACGTGTTAATGGTACCAAACCTTCTCCCTTTTTCTGAAACAATAGTATAACATCACAACATAGAAAGACACACTATAAAATATCAATTGGAAGGCTTAACTCAATAAAAAACGTAAATTAACACACAATGAACGAATAACTTTGATCTGTGATACCTGAATGCAAATACATAGTTAATAAAAATTATAAGGGATAAATAACTAAGGTCAAAAGTAAATGAACAGATTGAAACAAAGTTAAAATATAATACCACTGTGAAATGTTAAACAATATTTAGAAAATCATCACTTTTGAAAAAACCCGCGTCACCCTTTTCCTGTCCCTTTTCATGAAAAGTAGTTGAAATTGGATTTTCCACAAAATGAATTGATATTTCATAATCAGTGGGTACTTTATTCGGTGACCACATTTACAATATGACAACAGTACGACAATTGGTGACCCTTTATACACTGATTTTCAATTAAGATTCTTCCTGTGACAATTAAGACATTATTATGACAAACGAACGTAACACGCAAATTATAGACGAAGAAGCTGTAGAACTTGATTTGTTCATATGGCTTAATCATGCAATCAAAATGTCATGATATTGATCATGTAGGACTTGAAAACAAATTAAATATCTCAAGGTTCAAATCAGAATCATTGTCTGGTGAAAGACTGATAAGCTTTCTTCTAAGTCTTAGAGAAAGCCATTATCCGTCAAACTGTACACGTATTACGTATGCATTTACACAGAAAAAATATTGAACTACCACGAATCCTACTAAAAAGTGTGAATTCACCGAGTACACCAAATGCATAAGCAGTTTCTGCTCAATATATGGTACAATTCGGTTTACTATACTCGCACTTGCGATCATTTGTCGCGTTATCCAAAAGGACGCCTTTCTTTCGCAAGAAAACATTCCAGTAAATTGTCAGGGGCGGATCCAGGATTTAAGGTTAGGGGGAGCAAGGCGAACATATTTTTGAGGTAAAATTATCGCCGAAATATTCTTTTTTAAGCTGAGGACAACCCATGCTTTGCAAATTTTAGGGGGGGGGGGGGCACGCCCGCCACGCCCCCGCCTGAATCCGCCCCTGATAGTATAATCATCGGAAAACAAATTACAAATGTACAACGACAAGCAGAGTTCCTAACATCATGACATACCAACCTCAATTCTTCAAGAAAAGTATACCAACAAAACCGAATGATATGCAGCAAATCTCGAAAATCTCTGAGTTTACTAGGCAAATTAAGATGGACTTATTCCGAGACATAAACATGTAATGCAAACGGCCCAAGATTCTGTAATGAGGAGTCCCTAAATTACCTTCATGATTAAATTTATATCTGTAGAAATCGAATAACTGATGCTTTGTTATATTATGATCTATTATGTTTTTAGAACAATTTGACATTTGTCCATACTTCCTATTCATTTTGTACGAAATATATCCTTCTTACATATTTTAATTGCCCATTGACTTTTTGTGGACGTCGCATGCGACGTTTCCGTAAATTTTATTTTTTTCCTCGGGATACATAATCTGTGTTGATATATACAATGTAACCGCTTTGTGCAAATTTAAATATATTTAGCTATGTTGAAAGACATGCATAATGGCAAATTATAAAAATACAAATTATATACTAGTAGTCTTTAAGAAAACATGTAAGGTTTCCGCTGTTACCTTAGCAAAATAGGTGCGATTTGGGTACTCTGTGCTATTTGGCTACTGCTATGTTACCGTCATGAAGCTGGGTTCCTTCATTCTATATCAGAATGATTGATATAGATGTGCCTTTTTGGTAGTCGTGTGGACTAAAAGTCGAAAGATTCTTATTTCTTTCGGACTTCCTATTTAAAAAGTACAAAATAGTACTTGCTTACCTGTTAAAGATTCTATATCAAGATGTTTCCCAAACTGCTTGTCCCAGGACATCCCGGCGATAATTAACGGGTCACAATAAGGATAAGCCAGAGAAAGGCTATGCTTCCCGTCGTAATTAAATCTTTAATCCTTACGCATTTAATAATGTCTGCTCTCGAAATAAAGACAGATTAAGGTCAAATATTGTTTTTGTCCAGGACAACAATCGGTCAACAGGATAAATCAATTTGATATTGACGTATATATGCATGTTTTTTTTTTTTGATACGTTATGCAATGGATTGGAGCAGAAGGCTTGTTGACTCGAACAGTTTTGCCTTTTTTTTTTTTTACTTTGTTGACAAATTTGGGACAAAAAAGTACATTTTTCTGACAGATAACTGAGCAATGCTGGGGGGGGGGGGGGGGGGGGTGGGGGTGGTGAGGAGGGATCATATGTGGAAATTAATAAGCACACACGTCTAGCTTTCAAATTTAGCATTTTAAGAAAAAAATGAATGAGAACGTTTTGTCCACGTTCCCATGACCCGTGAATTCCGTCGTTTTGTCCACGTTCCCATGACCTGTGAATTCCGTCGTTTTGTCCACGTTCCCATGACCCGTGAATTACGTCACTTTGTCCACGTTCCCATGACCCGTGAATTACGTCACTTTGTCCACGTTCCCATGACCCCTAAATTTCGTCACTTTTTAACAAGATATCACATACTATGATACTTGGTAATTCTAAAGTAGTCCTTATTTAATGTTTCTAAATATGTCTTCCCTTAACTGATAAAACTTTACTGCTACTTTTTGAAGTATATAGAAATGATAACGAATCAAATGGGACTCTGGTGGTAGATTCAATGTCTACCTTTAAAATTTGAGATGCTTAATGATCATTTTTCTGGTTTTAAGATACGAGATACTTCTCGATAAGATGATTGTTAATTTAAACGTTTTGAAAATGTTAAAACTGTTCAAACCTTATGCAATTGATGGTGTCAATTCATATTCAATACATGTTCTCACAGGAATTTTATACATCTATAGTTTGTATACAAATAGAACACGCATTCTAAACAACATTTAATACCAATGTGTTGTAAGTCGACAAAAAACATGCACCCATGATTTGTAATGAATATTTATTTTGATTACTCAGGTTATTGTAGCCAGCTTATAGTCCTCATATTCATCATAAAACGGTTTAACAAACTTGTGAAGTATTTATTTAAACTTCCATTCAATATTTTAAATTAAACTTTAGTTCATAAAAGAAATCAGGATAATACACACCAGATAATGCATATAAACTATACAGAAAGAGTATAAAACTTTAACAATTATGTACCCCATACAAAGCATAGTAATTCAACAATTTCTTAAATGACATCGCATTTTCTGTTCATATAAAAATCATTCTGCAGCCATTTTCTTCATTGAAATCGTATAAACCCCATCCTTACAATTATACCTCTTCCATATTAAGCCACTCAATTATTTGACAGTATATGAAAGGAAGAGTCTTAGGAAAGCAATGTTTGATTTATTTGTTTATTCTTATTTCAGATTATTTTATTGTCTTCCAATTATATAATAAAGTAGAAATAAAATAGGGAACAACCCAGTCTATAGATATCTCTCTGTTAATTAACAACTGCTGGGTGTTTACAGACCGAATGAATCGTTTTCTATATATAAAAAGTTGTATTGTTTCCATCATAATTAGTTCATATATATATATGGAAATATTATCTTCAAATTTAGTGTCTTATATGATCTTGATTGTATTTATTATGAGACGAAAACAAATAACACAATTGCCAGACAATGTATGTATTATAAGAAAACATTTCTATTTCCATATAAAAATAAGAAGATATGGTATGATTGCCAATGAGACAACTCTCCACCAGAGACAAAATAACGTAGAAGTTAACATCTATTTATCACCGTACGGCCTTTAACAATGAGCAAAACCCATTCCGCATATAATTAGCATACTTCCAGTCAGAGTTATATTTTCCATTCAATCACTAACTCATCCTACTGGATAACATTGTTCGACATACTTTTAAAAAAGCCCCTTGTAATTGTATCTCTTCCTTTGAAAAGGTCTATGAGGATATCATCAAGTTCATATTTTAAAACATTTCTCGTTAATTTTAAAATATATTCACTTTTCTAAACGTCCACTATAATGTTGACGCAAGGATTCATTTTGATTAAAATATTTCATTACAAGACAATATGAAAACGTCCTAAAATGTTATTGAATTTGTGTTGTTTTTTTTTATATATATTTTTAAAACGTCCTAAAAATCATACATCTACCTACCCAACTCGGCATAAACCACGATAGACGGCATAATGAAAATGTACTGTCTTCCTTTATCAATATCCTTACATCCTATAACAGTTAGCAATGACTTTTTAAGTAACTACTTCCATATGTAGTGTTAAATAAATACTGAATATCTTAAGATGTCACTTCGGTCGAGGAAGATATGACTCCACAAAATACCTGTAACGTATATCCAAGCAACTTCGATTTCACAGTATCTTATATGATTGAGAAATTGAATAAGTTGATTTTGGGCTTTTGATCAAAGTCGATACCTTTACTCAGGTTAGCAGCATACCTGGGAACTACTATAGCAACAACCCATTGATCTCTTTACCAAATTATCTGATCATATGTTTGGAAATTTGAATAGTTTAATTGATATGGTTATCTAAACAAGACATTTAGTAATCTACAATATCACAAATATAGAATTATTGAGTGTAAATTAATTATCAAATAGTGAAAAGAAATACTAATACTATATGGATAACTTTAAATTTAAATTTTGATTTTTAATATTTCAATAATAACTAATATTTGAACCAAGGAATTGTGAAGGGTCACAAGGAATACTGATCGATGATATTGATTCGTCAAGACAAAATTGCATAGGTGTTAACGTGTTGACGTTTGATTTTTGTGATAACTGTAACCTTTAAATTTATTGTTTTAAATTCAACACTTATCATTAAATAGTTATGGATTGAACGACCATACTATAATTTCATATAACATAACTAAACGCTGGATAGATAGATTAGTTTCAAGACACATAAACAGACACGGACAGTCTCAATAGTATTAAATAAAAAGGTCAAAAGTGTAATTTTTAGCAAATGTTTATCTTTATGTATATGTTTATTTCTATTCTAACTTGTCTAGCTGTAGCCTTTATTCTTGCATGGATTTATGAGAATAAACTATCTATCAGAGGTCCTGCGCTAAATTGCAACCAGACATGCACAGCTATAGTTTTCTGCTTTCTGAGAATTTTTCCGGATTAAATTAATTTAGGAAAGCTCAGAGCAAAAGTTTTGGAACACTAAATATGAATGTACAAATCCAATGTTGTAGTGAAGGCTTATTTCATGGTTGATCGTCATATATATAAGAAGATGTGGTATGAGTGCCAATGGGACAACTCTCCATCCAAGTCACAATTTGTAAAAGTAAACCATTATATAAATAGGTCAAAGTACGGTCTCCAACACAGAGCATTGGCTCACACCGAACAGCAAGCTATAAAGGGCCCCAAAAATGACTAGTGTTAAACCATTCAAACAGGAAAACCAACGGTCTAATCTATATAAAAAAACGAGAAACGAGAAACACTCATGAACCACACAAACAAACGACAACCACTGAACATCAGGTTCCTGACTGATGGCAACCAAAACACTTGGATAATTCTGTCACGGCGCTATGAATTATTTGTGTGCAAGGGCAGAATAGAACTGTATATATGAGTGCATGCTGCCACAATTTTTTATCTGTAAATACTTTTTTGTGTATCTTATTGAAATTATAAGAATTAGATCATTTTTACAGAGCTGATTGATATGATAACTTTATAGACCGACTTGTTTACAAACTAAATTAAACACGATGGTTAAGGTTGTCTTTTGTGAGAGAATGTTCTGTGCTGGTGATTTGGTCTTGATTGGTGCTGGTGATTGTTGAAATTTTATAAATAAAGACAGAAATGATGGCTTTTGACGATTTCTCGAATATATGGTGAAAAGAAAAAGTTGAGATGATTTAATTTTGTTTCTAATGGGTTCAAAGACAATCCGTTTAAAAATTGGCCCCATACGCTATTTAAGTATGCGTAACAAAAAGAGTGCTCAATTTTAAAAATCTATAACGGAAAAAAATATATAAACCATAATGACCCTGGAGTCCACTTCCTATACCCAAATCCTCTCGACACAATTATTTTGTGAAAAACCGTAGCAATTTATCAAAATTCCTCAGTTAAGACATGACCTGAGTCTGTGCTGGTGGGTCCTGGCTTTGTGCTGGTGATTTTTGACAAGACGCACAAGACGTTAACTACTCCTATATTTGAATCAAACGTTACAGAATCATTCAAATTGAGCAAGTATTGAAATTAATCAGATTTGCAACTATGGGTTTGGGGTAAATCCAATTTGATATACGAGTTTATATAAGTTAACTATTATTGCCTTTGATTTCCCCAGTAATATTTGATAAAAAATAAAGACTAGTATACTACTCCTATTTAAATCAAACGTTACAGAGTCATTCAAATTGAGCAAGTATTGAAATTAATCAGATTTGCAACTATGCGTTTGGGTAAATCCAATTTGATATACGAGTTTATATAAGTTAACTATTATTGCCTTTGATTTCCCCAGTAATATTTGATAAAAAAAATAAAGACTAGTATGGAACAATTACAGCTCATCGCATGGTCGTAAACAACAAGCAAGACGCATACGTACCGTATACTGACCTATACTGGCTATATATAAAAGGCCGCGGTATGAAAAAAATGGGAAAAAGATTTTAAAAGATAAGACTCTCAGTCTGATTTATGCAACCAAAATGACCGAGAAATAACGAATGTTAGAAATCAATTTCTCATGGACTTTCATCTTATATCTAAGCCGTCCTCCTGGCCTGGATCTTTTGTTGCTAATCAGTTTTGATATCCGTATAGTTTCTGTCTCTTTTTGACACTTTTAATTTATTTTTAGATCTATAACTTTGTTGACTATTTTACACTTTACAGATCTTCTCTTGCTATCTGCAATGGTTTTGTAAAAACACCCCAAAATGGGGGATCGTCATTGAAGAACAGTTACCCTCATAAGAGTAGACTGACAGATTTTTATAGATCTTGTCTTGCTGATGATGTTTGATGGTCAAAGTAACTCTATATCAATCATGGTTTTCAAGATTATAAACACAAACACAAAAAGGTAAATAATAGTCATTCAAGGGCAAAATCTCTTATAAAGAGAGGCGGAAGATACCAAAGGGATATTCAAACTCATAAGAATGAGTCAACTGACGATTTCGGCCATTTATCTTTTTTGTAGATCATATTTTTTTCTGACCAATTTTGCTATTTATAATTTCTCTCTTTCTTAAAAATATAGTACTATTATAATCGTCATTCAAGGACTACTACTCCTATTAGGAGTCTATTATCAAGGACGTATATTAGATATACGTCCTTGCTATTATCAATTTCAGCTTTATTTAAAGAGCTTACTTTGTTAGTCATTTTTACCATCTGACAGTTTTCTCTTACTTTAAAGATTTGAAAGATGATACCGAAAAACTGCGAAATTTGCTAAAAATGGAAATCTTAGGGGCAATAACTCCAAAATGGGCATTCTGAATTTTCGGAAAATTGCAAGTTAAATAGACATTGACCTTTTGGTAATTTTGAACCAGAAAGTTTTGCCCTATCTGCTGGGTTTTACTCATTGTTGAAGGCCGTACGGTGACCTATAGTTGTTAATTTCTACGTCATTTGGTCTCTTGTGGAGAGTTGTCTCATTGGCAATCATACTACATCTTCTTATTTTTATGTTAACTCATCAGATCGATACAAAGCAGAAAAACATCGAACAAAAACACAGACCGGATGTGGCAGGGTATTTATACATCCCCACATCAAAATAGACACGAAGTACAGATCTGAGAGTACACGCAGTTACTGACATTAAGTCCAAAGCCAATTAATTTTACAACTAATAAAAAAATTATGCATCTAAGACTAAAATGCCTTTCTACAAATATTAGATATGTGACTATTAAAATTGAATTTAAAGTCAAAAGTGACACCCAAAAGTTTGACTTCATCTTCACATTCTATGATACTACCATCTAAATTAAATATGATATTTTTTCATGTGTTTTTTACCTAAAGACATAGCCTGAAATTTATCAGGGTTGGCTTCCAAATGATGATTGCCTGTAAACCACTATATTAATATTGAGATAGTTTATTATATGTTTACGATTTTGAAAACACTGTGATAGGATAGAATTTAAAAAAAATATAATTTGGAATTTTTTTAAGTCACCAATCTGTCAATTTCATCATATTTGAAAAAAATTACGTCACGAAACTCAGATTTAGTTTTCGGATACTACTCATGGCTGACCGCCTTAGTTTAAGCATTTAATCAACTTCCGTAATCGCATGCGCAGATGAACAAACGCATGGCGTACTCAAAATCCAAATAATAAAATTAAAGAAATTGTAAATAATAGACTGACAAGCCATGGTTAAGCTTACAGCGGAATTGATTGAACAATCTGCACAATATACGAACCCAGTTCGAGACAGAGAACTTGATCTCAGAGGTAAACCGGCCCTTTCGAATTGTATAAAATTATAAAAAACACAACAAAAAATCTTTGTTTTGATGAGCATCACCAGTAGCTTTTCCTCACCAGTAATTTATCAAAGTAATTGCTTTTATGCTATGTCAAATCTGCCATTTTTATGACCTAGATTCATACCAAAGTGGTCAAAGGAGATTTTTCCTCTGCTATGATAAATTTCCTATGTACAATGATGTATGTTTATGATTTATAATCGATTAAGACTATCAGCTCCGACTTAAAATGGAAGGAACACATTAAAAACATATGTGTTAAAGCAAACAAGACCATAGGCTTCCTCAAACGTAACTTGAACATCAATAACAACACAATAAAAGAAACTGCATACAAGTCACTTGTAAGACCGACTCTAGAATATGCATGTACAGTCTGGGATCCTTATCAACAAAACAACAAAAACCGACTGGAAATGGTACAGAGGAGAGCAGCCAGATATGTCACTAACAGATATCATAACACATCATCTGTTAGTGACATGCTTAACATACTAGAATGGAAAACCCTCGAAGACCGTAGGAGAACATCAAGGCTTACAATGATGTATAAACTTGCCAACGGGATGGTCAAAGTTTACACCAGTAATACTCTCATTCCACCAGATAGGCTATCCAGAAACATCAATACAAATGGATATCAAGTACCATCTTGTAGGACCGAAGTGCGGAAGGAATCTTTTTACCCAAGGACGATACGAGACTGGAATGCCCTACCACATACTGCCACCAATACAGGTAGTCTTGAATGCTTCAAGACTTACCTGCATGAGATGAACTAGATCAAGCCAAGATGTTTTTAAATTCACTGTATATATGATGTATAGCACAAATTCAAATCAATTCAATATTTATTTTTTCGTCTAAATTTTAAATGCGCATCCAAAAAGTGGCAAAATAATCAACTTATTGATGGTGGCCGCGTATTGGTAGAAGTAGAAGTAGAAGTAAGAACAAGTATCAAGATAAAGTTCAAAACAACTGAAAATTGAGGGCTGGAAAATTTTCAAAACATTAGTTTATTGATATATTTTTTGTGTTTTCCCATAGACTTAGATGAATTATACAGCAATCCTAGAGACATTTTTTTTTTACCAGTGCCTTTTGCACTCTGTTTTAGGATCTTATAGTATACTTCCCATCAAAGTATAGTACCAGTTGATAGAAATAAAATTAAGAATGAAGCCAATTGAATTTGAAGACGGTAATGTGTGGTTGTATGATACTTCAAAGGTACAATTGTTGAAGCCAAGTAATCAGAAGTATTTTTTTCCAATTCCAGCACTCGTAACTCGAGCATATCCTCAAAAGTTTGTTATTTTCGGCAAAATAACATATCATTTTAGTAAAATGTGATTATAATGGTTCACTTTTGATCCATTTAATTGATTTATTGCATCAAAAACGGGATATATTATAATATTCTAATGTCCAATCGACAACACTTTATCTTCAATCTTCAATCTTTGTCGTGATGACAGGGTAATCTCTCTTGTGAATTATCCTCTCTTGTGAAAATATAGTCACTAATGTAGTTTCTCTGTTGTACTTAAATATCGGAGGTGTCGCTTTATTAATAAAGGAAAAAAAAAAAATTAAAAAAAAGTATTTAGAAAAAAATAAAATTTAAAAAATTGTATAATCAGGTAATTGAATTGACATGAAAAAAATTAAAAAGAATGTCTATTAAATTATCCACTAAAACAGTTTGTTTCCTCTATGTACTCTGCTAATAATTGAATGACATTTTCTGCACTTTATACGACAACTCATATGCTTTGACCAATTCTCATATTACTGTAATTATATAACACAACATTAGAACTGACGTAAAAAAATTCCTTTTCGATTATTTTATTTTTGACTTTGTCATGTCAGAGTCATGGAACTTTGACCAGGCCATAATCTTGCCGGCGAAATGACGATTTAAGTCGCCAAAGAATTTTGGAAATCGCTAAATCTCGCCGGCCGACTGACTTCATAGCGAGGTCAAATCGCTATCAAAATCGGTAAAAGGGAGACAACTTGTGATTGACAAGTCTCACAGGTAAAAAAATGGCGGCTGATAAGGAAAATCGAGATTTTCGAAACAACCCAGGACTAATACTGTAAACGCTCAAATTAAATAAATACAACGGCGACTTTGAACATCCTCGGATATAACTTTAAAAACTGTTAAAACGGAAAACTGACTGTCTGTTTAAGTTAACGTTTTACGATGATTTTCATCTGAGGATGTTGCGTAATCACTCAGCTGATTTGTTTTATTTGTATTACCTACACGAGTCGATCAATTTTACTATTCGGTTGGTAAAGGGTGGGAATTAACGGTAGATTTATTATATTCATTGAATAAAAATTGAAATAGAAAAGGTAGAAAGACAGCTGATGGATAATGTGATTGCAAACGTACGACACTCGAGATTGTGATCAGCAGTGGATTTTTTCTCATGACCACTTCGTTGATATGGATGACATTTTTAAAAAATGATAGAAATTAGCTCTTTATCGGATAATTAACTTGAGATTGAAAGATATTTTCATTTATAGACTTACAATCTTTAACGATAATCTCAATTTACTACAACTAACATAAATGTCCTGGACATTCAATAATGTTGTACAAAACAATGACAAGTAGTGATATAAATTAAATTCCCAGTCATGTGAAATTCATCATATTTTTCTTGAGTTTTAAAAATAAATTGAGGCAGATGCACTTGAATTTAATGCATCATAATCTTGATAATATTACTAGGCTACTCCCTCATGTCCCAATCAACAAATTTTATTTAGAACACATTATGGTATCAATAAATAAATAACAACTACATATTGTTTAAACCTTTTTATTAAGAACTTTCTATATATACATTGTGTACAATAACATATGAAAAAACTGCAAGTACATCTTTTATTGAATATAAAACAATTTCCTTAGTGATAAGCTTGAAAACATGATGCAACCGAAACGGTAATGGAATCTCACTTCTCCAAGAAGTTGACCACTTCTCTCTTCTCTCATGGAAGGAGAAGTCACTTCTCCCTCTTCAAAATCCTAGATTAGGCCCTGTTTGACCCTTTAAAGCTATTTTTCGCAAATCACAAACTTACTCTAGAATTCCTTAATTGATCTCCTCCAAACTTTACATCTTTGTGAGGATTAATGAAAGGAAGCTCCCTTGCAATTTTTTGAATTTTTTGGGTTTGTCGTTCCAGAGATGTAGAACTTTTTACTCAATTTTTGTCGAGCCTTCGACTTTTGTCGAAAAAGCGAGACATAGCAATCCTACATTCTGTCGGTGTCGTCGTCGCCCACAAATATTCACTCTGTGATTAAAGTTTTTGAAATTTTAATAACTTTCTTAAACTATCCTGGATTTGTACCAAACATGGACAGAAGCTTGTTTATGATCAAAAGATAGTATCTAGAAGGAAATTTTTTAAAAAAATTCCTGTTTTTCCGTATATTACTTATAAATGGACTTAGTTTTTCTTCCAGTTAACATAACATACAGTCTGCAGTTTAAGTTTTTAAAACATTTATTAGATTCATAAACTATCCTGGATTTTTACCAAACTTGGACAGAAGCTTTTTACAATAAAAAAATTGTATCGAGAGGAATATTTTTATTAAATTTTTTCCTCATCTCATTTTTGTTGAGCCTGCGATTAACAGCAAAAGTAGGCGAGACACTGGGTTCCGCGGAACTCTTACGAAGTTTTCACAAATGGTGCTATAACTCCAGTATTCCTGGATTGATTTCCTTTTAACTTTAAACTATTGTTGGGATTGATGAAAGGAACCTCCATTTGAATTTTTAGAGTTTCTGGATTGTCGCTCCAGAGTTATGGGACATTAATTGTCAGAATGTAGTAAAATTTTCACATTTTGTACCATAACTTGATTTTGCTTGGATTGATTTTGTGGAAACAGTACGTACTGTTGGAATTTGTGAACATCACAAACTGTTTGATTTAAACGGTATCCTTCGGCATGTTTTTCTACAGAGTCTTTTTATTTGCTTATGATTAAATGCCTTTGAAATATCTCATTTTATTCTTGCAATAATTTCAATATGCACAATAAGGGCCAGAGCTCCAGATAAGCTGCGTATTTGCGTGATAAAACAATAAAAACAATTGAAAACCCAATTCAATTGACAATTGTAGCGTTCAAAAACCCAATTCATGCAAAGGAATACCCAATTATATGTTAAAACTATGTGTTCTCAACCCTACTTGTCGCTATGGACAATGGTATGTGTTATTTACCCTAATCGATAAATTGTTGTTGCGTAAATCTATTTTTGTAATGTTAGGAAATCTACTTTCGTTCTAAAAATAGAGCATTATATCAAATATCTGATCTGGGTCCCTGTTGAAAGGAATTATCTGTACTCAAAACTGTATCCCCGGTAAACATTTGTAATGGACCAGTTTGAAAATTTTCTTTGGCAGACCATGAGTCAGAGAGGCAGGAAAAAACACCGCTAGTAACAAAGTAGTATATTCTGTTGAACTATTTGAGAACAGACCGCTGTGCAAGTCACATTATCAATTTCTTAATGGAGAAGGCGACAACTCCAAATATATGTGACATTTTGGACGAAAATCATCGATGGTGTCCTTTCTTCCTTCAATGAAAATACTACTAAATTGAAGCAAAGACACACAGTGTCAGATAAGACATTCTTTGCCTGGAAAGGAAAGAACCCATGGCTAAATCAAATCGATTAAGCGGAAGTCTCATTTATACATATTGCTCTGAATAAAAGTCTACCGCAAGCCGCTGAGACAACAAAATTACAACGTGTTTTGGGCCATGAAGTGACCCAAAATATTCAGCTGTCAGCAGTGACAAGACAAAATGAGGCACTGAACATATGAATATCACCAATAAAAATTCACACATTTCCAAAGTTGCCTCTGATATTGAATGTGATGATAATGAAGCAGAGTCTGACTCACACTTCACTCTAATAAATCATGAACAACATTTTGTTCAAAACTATTTACTTGGGAAAATAAAATGCAGACAAGCAACATGAGCAATGTCAATGGATTGTTATAATAACCCCAACAAAAACCAGGGGTGATCGTATGTGCTCAAGAAATTAATCAGTTACTGCCACACTAGTAACACCAGTTTTTATAAATGGACAGAAAATACAAAACTGGCGGAAAAGTTGAAACAAACCAGACACAAATTAAACAAAATAATTGTTGTCAGTGTTTAAACCAAATAAAAGGATTATCACATACATACTTGAAAGAAACATATTTAAGATATCAGTGGATGGACACAGTGTTCTCCTCACAAATTTCTTATATCATCCCGGTAAACAAGAAATTATGAAATACCATCTTGTTTTTAGAAACTATAGCATCACATCCATAACACTATTTATAAGAAACTAATTTCAGATAGCATCACATTCAAGGAATATAGCATCACATTACCATGATGGTAAAAGGCCCTGGGGAGGATTCTGGATGGACATCTTTGTTTGATATGATTTATACTTTATGACATGCCTCAATTCAATATTTAGATGATGACAAAAACTAATACATTCAGAAGCTTGGTGGTGAAAAAGCCCAATTTGATATTTGCATGAGGGGTGAATTGGAGTTGATAATGGCCCATAATGCAATTGAAAAAACTATTTCACTCAATTACATCAAAATTGGTGGGTAAAAACCCCAATTTGTGAATTCTTAACTGGAGCTCTGAAGGGCTGTTTATTTTGGGGGTAGTTTCTGACAAGTGGAAACATTACACTATAGGGCAATGAACAAACAAGCACATCTCTTTTAATGCTCAGCACTTCTGCCTATCAGTTTCAAAATAAGAAGTCACTTCCTATGATACTGAGGCACATGTAGTTAAAGAATTGTCAATAGTCTTTTCTGTACAGTATTTGATCAATATAGTCTCTTTTACACTGTACATGGTGTGATTCTTTTATTCAAGGATGAGAAATTGTATAAATCACAAAAACATTTACTAGACAGCAATTGCTTTTATAGCGCTCTCGCTCTGATTCATTTTTACAAAGTTGATGAAACTGCACTTCTGGTACTGGGAAAACATTCAGATTTTAATGAAAATAAATTTGTTACTTCATTAAATTATGATTAGTATTGCATCAGTTCTAATGTTTGATCCATTCATTGAAATAAAAACATCATATTCCTTTCCAAATCGCTTATCAAAGATTGTTAAGTTCTGTACATTTATCTTTGTCAGCAATTGAAATTTTTATACAAACCTCAGAGGCAGACCAATTATGACTAATAACTACAGACAAATGCATGGATCAGCTTAAATAGTCATGTTAGTCAGATGACGGGAGCATAAAGAGCCAAAAATTACAATGAAAAGTATACATGCAACAAACATTAACAAATGTTCAGTTAGATCCCTTTTGTTACAATTAAAATGTACATATTTTAATGCAAATGTGTTGTTTCATGTTTTTGATCAGATTTAAGATTTTATAGCTTATATTTTGCTAAATTTGTATAGTTTAAAGAGAATTAATGAATATCATCATTGCATTCACGCAACCTGAAATGCATGATTTTCTCTAGGGATGCACCATTTCTCGAACCTGTTTGGCTGCAGGATGTGTCCTGTTTATTCTTAAAATGTAGCTATAATAGTAAAAAAAAGATAAGCACAGAATAGATTTTGAACATGGTGCAACGTAGGGTTAAATTGATAATATTAATATGCTGTATAATAAAAATGTGTGACTTTAGCATATTATGCTTTAAAAAAAGAGATTTCCTGTAAATTTACTAGATTGAATATTCTCAAATTGATTTAATATTTTGAAATTATTATGTAATTTTTATACGACAGCAAAAAAATTTTGTGGTCGTATATTGGTATGACGTTGGCGTCGTCGTCGTCGTCGTCCGGCGTCGTCGTCCGAAGACACATTGGTTTTCGCACTCTAACTTTAGTTTAAGTGAATGGATCTTTTTGAAATTTGACCATAAGGTTAAATACCACAAAAGGAAGGTTGGGATTGATTTTGGGGGTTATGGTACCAACAGTTGAGGAATTAGGGGCCAAAAAGGGGCCAAAAATAAGCATTTTCCAGTTTCCAGACAATAACTGTGGAACGGTGTATGGATCTCTCTGAAATTATACTACAAGTTTCCATACCACAAAGGGATGGTTAGGATTTGCTTTGGGGGGTTATGGCTCAAACCGTTTAGGAATTAGGGGCAAAAAAGGGGGAAAAACAAGGTTGTCCTGGTTAATGGACAAATACTTTAGTACAAAACATAATTTAAAGCAGTGTAAGGGAGATAAATCAAATACATCATTGAAATTATCTCCCTTACACTGCTTTTAAATTATGTATAAAGTAATGGTTAATGAACAATAAAGATAATTTAAAACAGTGTAAGGGAGGTAATCCAAATACAACGTTTTGGTTACTTCCCTTACACTGCTTTTAAATTATGTTTAAAGAAATACATATTTATAAAGGAAGACCAGTAAAAATATCTGCAAATGTTGCATCTTTTTTTTTTTACAAAAAAATCCATATGAAAGATTTGACACTATATTTTTAATTCTATTATAAAATAGATTAAGTTAGCACTATGGTAAATTTAAATGGGTAATTATGGTTGCCAACTCCATTGGAAATTTGAATTGAGATTATGACCATATCTTGAGGGAAAGAATTTTTTTGGGGAAAAAAGGGGGGGGGATAAAAAGAAATTGTGGGGGGTCAATTTTTTCTCATTTCAGATTTCAGAAATTAAAAAGAATTATTCTTCAAATATTATTTTTTTTTCAAATTTCAAATATTGAAAAATTTCAAGAAGTAATCTTTAATTGCATAGTATGGCGCATTAGATTTGTAAAATCTGTGATCACATTTATTTATTTGTTATGCCGAATCTAACAGTGTATTTAGATTTTTAATTTTGTGTCCAGTTTTTCAAATTGGTCTACATTAAGGTCCAAAGGGTCCTAAATTAAACTTTGTTTGATTTTAGCAAAAATTGAATACATGAGGTTCTTTGATATGCTGAATCTAACCATGTATTTAGATTTTTTATTTGTGGACCCCGTTATCAAATTGGTTCATATTGAGGTCAAAAGGGTCCAAAATTAAACTTTGTTTGATTTCATCAAAAATTGAATTATTGGGGTTCTTTGATATGCCAAATCTAACCGTGTTTTTAGATTTTTAATTTGGGTCCCATTTTTTAAAATTGGTCTTCATTGAGGTCCAAAGGGTCCAAAATTTAACTTAGTTTGATTTTAACAAAAATTGAATTCTTGGGGTTCTTTGATATGCTAAATCTAAACATGTGTTTAGATTTTTTATTATGGGCCCAGTTTTCAAGTTGGTCCAAGTTGGGGTCCAAAATTAAACTTTTTTTGATTTCAACAAAAATTGAATATATGGGGTTCTTTGATATGCTGAATCTAACCATGAATTTAGATTTTTTATTTGTGGGCCCCGCTATCAAATTGGTTTATATTGAGGTCAAAAGGGTCCAAAATTAAACTTCGTTTGATTTCATCAAAAATTGAATTATTGGGGTTCTTTGATATTCCAAATCTAACTGTGTATTTAGATTTTTAATTTTAAGTCCCGTTTTTTAAATTGGTCTACATTAAGGTCCAAAGGGTCCAAAATTAAACTTAGTTTGATTTTAGCAAAAATTGAATTATTGGAGTTCTTTGATATGCTGAATCTAAACATGTGTTTAGATTTTTGATTATGGGCCCAGTTTTCAAGTTTGTCCAAGTTGGGGTCCAGAATTAAACTTTGTTTGATTTCAACAAAAATTGAAAATATGGGGTTCTTTGATATGCTGAATCTAACCATGTATTTTGATTTTGGACATTGGACCATAATAGGTAAATTAAAAAAATTCAAGTTCTTAGACCACATTCTTTCTGTGTCAGAAACCTATGCTGTGTCAAATATTTAATAACAATCCAAATTCAGAGCTGTATCAAGCTTGAATGTTGTGTCCATACTTGCCCCAACTGTTCAGGGTTCGACCTCTGCGGTCGTATCAAGCTGCGCCCCAGCGAAGCATTTTATTCAAGTTTGTTAAGGAACTTAATTGACTGCAATTTTAATTTCCAACATTTGCATTATCAAAAGTACAATAAGGCGAGACATATCTCTGTGTTAACAGTTTTTATCTTATATAAATTTCAGGTTACAAAATTCCAGTTATTGAAAATTTGGGAGCTACTTTGGTATGTATCAGATTGAACAAAACATGTGTTGCATAAGAAATGATTATTTAAAAGAAAACTTAATGAAATGTCTTGATTACCCAGATAATCAAGTAGAGCCATTCAATTTAGTACATAAAATGTACATGTATGTTGTATATTAGACTATAGGTAAATAAAAATGTGTTTAAAGGTACATGGGAGATACACATGGACAGTGATACCCAATTCTAGCAATTGTACAGTAATAAGTACATGTATGTAAACAGTACACTGTCAAAACTAGTTATTTTGTGTTTTTACTGTATACCATATTCCCTCCCTCCACTGATAGTTTAAAAATAGTTTAAGTTGGTATATCATTATATTGCTATACAGTTTAATGATGCCTTAATCTCAAAAACAATGAACACGAAAACAGATGAATTGTATTAGGGTAATATGTCAATGAAAAGGCAACCAAACAACTTAAACTAGAAAACATTTAGAGATTATATGTTACTACAGACCCATTTATAAGTAAATATACCTCATTGTAAAAAGTATTAATTCAAAAAGAAACAAGATAATTTCAAAAGCAAAGATCAAAATGGCTGTTGCATCCAAGTAAAATAAGTTTTCTCGTGACCAGTTTATTACAATACATGTACATATGAATGTTGACTATAACCAGTTAACATCGATGAGACAGCAACCCTTCAACATAAGCTTATCAAAAACATTCTGCTTTAAAGAAATATTTTTGTGTATTTTAGGATCAGTTTGATACAATAGATTTATCAGACAATGATATTAGAAAATTAGATGGATTTCCACTGCTCAAAAGACTTAAATCATTGTTGGTGAACAATAACCGAGTAGCGTAAGTGGTTTTTATACGATCGTATATTGGTATGACGTTGGCGTCGTCGTCGTCTGAAGACACATTAGTTTTCGCACAATAACTTTAGTTAAAGTGAATGGATCTCTATGAAATTTTACCATAAGGTTCAATACCACAAAAGGAAGGTTGGGATTGATTTTGGGGGTTATGGGACCAACAGTTAAGGAATTAGGAGCCAAAAAAGGGGCAAAAAATAACCATTTTTCTAGTTTCCAGACAATAACTTGTGGAACGGTGTATGGATCTCTCTGAAATTATACTAATGGACAAATACTTTAGAACAAAACATAATTTAAAGCAGTGAAAGGGAGGTTATTCAAATACATCATTTGAATTACCTCCCTTACACTGCTTTTATAATTATGTATAAAGTAATGGTTAATGAACAATTAAGACAATTTAAAAGCAGTGTAAGGGAGGTAATCCAAATACGTTTTATTACCTCCCTTACACTGCTTTTATTTATGTTTAAAGAAATGCATATTTATAAAGGAAGACCAGTAAAAATATCTACAAATGTTGCATCTTTTTTTTTTTACCAAAAAATCCATATGAAAGATTTGACACCATATTTTAAATTCTATTATAAAATAGATTAAGTTAGCACTATGGTAAATTAAAATGGGTAATTATGGTTGGTAACTCCATTGGAAATTTGAATTGAGATTATGACCATAACTTGAGGGAAAGAATTTTTGTGGGGGGAAAATGCGGGGGGGGGGGGGGGGGGGGGGTAAAAAGAAATTGTGGGGGGTCATTTTTTACTCATTTCAAATTTCAGAAATTAAAAAGAAAAATTCTTCAAATATTATTTTTTTTGCAAAAAAAAATTGTGTTGGGGGGGGGGGGGGGTTAATACTCAACAGCATAGTGTATTGCACAAAAGAAAAAAAAAGGGGGGGTAATTTTTTTTTTTTTTTTTTTTGTGGGGGGAGGGGGGTCAATTCGCAACAGCAAAGTGTATTGCACAATAGCAAAAAATTGAATATAAATTCAAATCATATAACCAATTCTAAGTTCTTTGACCACAGTTATTCTGTGTCAGAAACCTTTTATGTGTCAAATATTTAATTACAATCCAAATTCAGACCTGTATCAAACACTAATATTGTGTCCATTTTTGCCCCAACTGTTCAGGGTTGGACCTCTCGCGCTCGGCGAAGCAATTTATTGATGAAGTTGAAGTCCAATCAACTTGAAACTTAGTATACATGTTCCCAATGATGTGATCTTTCTAATTTTAATGCCAAATTAGAGTTTTGCCCCCAATTTCACGGTCCACTGAACATAGAAAATGATAGTGCGAGTGGGGCATCCATGCAACAGGAAAGACACCTATTTTTTGGCACCAGTACACAATAATCATTAGAAATAAGCTGGTCAAATGTTTGATTAACCACCACCATACATGATCATGTACATAATGTAAGATAATTACTTCGTCTGTTGAAAATATAAAGTAATATGCTCTCTTAGACTATCCTTAAGGTTAGGCATTTTCATAGCAAATTTCAGAGGCAACCTGAAATTACTGCCTGGCCACTAAAATTTTGAATTGACCTCTGAAATTTTATATCTGTTGGCCAAATGGCTGTTTTCGCTTTCAATGATCTTCCATTTTGAAATTTGAAATCATAATATGAGTGTATTAAAACTTATGTTCTCATTTCTATTGTTAATATAGAATGCCTTGCTTCAATTGTATTTATTGCATTGTTCATAACTTATAATTAAAGACATCATTGTGTCTTTGAAATGAAGAACAGCTATAAAATCACTTTTCTTTTGCATATTTTCAGGAGAATATCAGACACATTAGCAGAAAGTATACAAAATCTTGAAACATTAGTCTTATCAAATAACAGTATGCAAGAATTAGGTGATCTGGATTCGCTTGGATCCATGAAATCACTGACCTATCTAAGGTAGGTGTCGGAATTGTTTAAAGATTCCCTTGGATCAATGAAATTACTGACCTATCTCAGGTAGGTGTCGTAAGTGTTTAAAGATTCCCAGGAATCCATGAAATCACTGACTTATCTCATGTTATTGTCGGAAGTGCTTAAAGATTCCCTTGGATCCATGAAATCACTGACCTATCTCAGGTAGGTGTCGGAAGTGTTTAAAGATTCCCTTGGATCCACGAAATCACTGACCTATCTCAGGTAGGTGTCATAAGTGTTTAAAGATTCCCTTAGATCAATGAAATCACTCACCTATCTCAGGTAGATGTCAGAAGTGTTTAAAGATACCACAGCGGAATTAAACATTCAAATTGTTATATATTGTAAATAATTTCTCTTGCATAAGTTTTTATACGACTAAAAAAATTTGCAACTGTATAATTGCATTGCGATGTTGTCGTCTGAAGACATTTGGTTTCCAGACAATAATTGTCGAGCCTGCGACTTTTGTCGCAGAAAGCTCGACATAGGGATAGTGATCCGGCGGCAGCGGCGGCGTTAGCTAACTTCTTGAAAGCTTTATATTTTAGAAGCTAGAAGACCTGGATGCTTCATACTTTGTATATAGATGCCTTATGTTACGAAGTTTCCGTCTGTCATATGTCCATTGTCCTTGACCTCATTTTCATGGTTCAGTGACTACTTGAAAAAAAAGTCAACATTGTTTGTAATGTTAATTTCTTTCTTATTATGAGTAATAGGATAACTATATTTAGTATGTGCGTACCTTGCAAGGTCCTCATGCCCGTCAGACAATTTTCATTTGACCTCGACCTAGTATAGGTCTACTATATTTGGTATATGGAATGATTGTAAGGTGTACATGTCTGTCTGGCATGGTTCATCTGACCTTGACCTCATTTTCATGGTTCATTGGTCAATGTTAAGTTTTCTTGTTTAAGACTGTTTCTTAGAAAAAATAAGCAATAGGTCAACTATGTTTGGTTTATTGAATGATTGTAAGGTGTACATGTATTTCTCGTTTGGTTTATCTGACCTTGACCTCATTTTCTTGGATCATGTTAAGTTTATGTGTTACTTGTAGTAAAGCTTTGTATATAGGATTATCAACATAAAATCAATGGTTAGTAAAGAAGGCGAGACATTTCAGCGTGTGCACTCTTGTTTTAGTATAAGCATATGGATCTTTATGAAATTGTACCGAAAGGTTCCATACGATAAAAGTTTGGTTGGGATTGATTAAGTGGGTTATGGCCCTAACCATTTAAGAATTTTGGGCCATAATGGGGCCAAAAGCAAACTTTTTTTCTGGTTTCCGCACAATAACTTGAGTACAAGTGTATCGATTTGTATGAAATTGTTCCACAAAAGGAAGGTTGGATTGAATTTGGGGGTTGATGGCCATATCCGCTTAGGAATTCGGGGCAAAAAAGGGGTAAAAAATCAAATTTTTTTAAAACTTTATTTGAATTGCTTATTTCTGACCAATTTCAATGTCTACTGCACTTTAAAAAAGGTAAAAAGATTAAGGCTGTCAACTTGGTGAACAATTACTAATTGAGTACTCGTTGGTTTTATCGAGCAATACTCGAGTACTTGCTCGGGAATATATCTACAACACGGAAACACAAAAATACGTACTTTATATTCTATGGTTTGTTGTTCACATGTTCATTGACGAAAAAACATCTACATAAGGACAAGGAATTACACACCATATTTAATAGCTCATTACCTACAAGTACTAATTAAGTAAAAACAATAATCTAATCAATATAACTTAATGAACACCTATTTGAAAATTATATCAAGGAAAAACCATATCAAACAATAGTATTTGGTATCGTTAAGAGAACACATTTAATGTTTACAAAGGCATAAGGATTAGAAGTTTAACTGTTCACTGAAGGTCACCAGAGGATGCAACGGATTTATTTTATTTGGAAACATTTTCTTGTCAACTATTATTGGGGACAGTCTGTTTTGCAACTTTGTAAATTACAGTCTTGCAGTCGAAAATATTTGCTCTGACGGTATCGATGTGATTGAATGGCTAAGACATGTTTCGTTCAAAGTGTTAGTCTAGGTATAGCCCACATATTTTCATAGGCATTTTAAAGGACAATTTAGCACAAGCATTTGAAAAAAAATGTATTTTATTTACTAGTATGATTAATCAGTGATGCCTATTTAATTATATGAAAGAGGTTCTCAAGAAGATCAATTTTATTTAAAGAAAACAGCAATATTCTAACAGGAAACCGATTAGTCGAGTATCGTTTTGGTATTCGATACTCAGTACTACCGAGCGATACTCGAATACTCGAGATGCATCACCAAAATTATCAAATTATCAGCATTCTCACTCAAATGTATCAATCTGATTCAATAATAATTTAAACATTTCCGACATATACTTAGAACATAACTTCCTCCATATTGACATTTCTGTTCAAAGGAAAATAACTCGAACCACAAATTTTAAATGATAATCCACTCTTAAACACACAACATTAACGTCACCTTTTGATATAACTTTTCAGAACAATTTTAACCACAAATTCACAAATATGTTTAAAATAACATCCCAGCCACTTAGAATTACAATCCCATTAACCACATTACCAATTCATGCCCAATTTCATGCCACAATTTTATCCCATATTATCCTATTTTGCAAAATTAAAAAAAATATTCAATTCATATAATATATTCTGCATTTCATTTCCACTACATCATTCATTCCTAAAATTTCTAAATTATCAATAATAATTTCTAAATGCTAACAGTTTAACTGTGTCAAGAAAAATGAATTTCCTCCCCTTTCCCATAACCCAAAGTCACAATATGTTCAGAAATTTCAATCATTACCTGATGACAAATAAACCTCAACTAGCATACACATCCATCTGTACCGAACTTGTAACAATATTCAAACACCAAAAAATTGTCAATTATTTAATGAAAGCTACCAATTACAGCTTAAACTAAATTCCTTGATGAAGCATTTTAAAAAGTTTAATAGCTAAAATTATCCATTAATAAATGAATAAATCAAATTCTTGGGTGTACTTGGATATGCTGAATCTAACCGTGTATTTAGATTTTGGATATTGGACCAAAATGGGTAAAAGTCAAATTTCAAATTTTTCATTTCTTTGACCACATTCTTTCTGTGTCAATAACCTATGCTGTGTGATATATTAAATCAAAATTCAAATTCCGAGCTGTATCAAGCTTGAATGTAGTGTCCATTCTTGCCCCACCTGTTCAGGGTTCAACCTCTGCAGTCGTATCAAGCTGTGCTCTGTGGAGCATTTTATTCAAAGTTGCATCAAAATATCAAACTGTACTGTTTATGTTGATGAGCGTTGTGATATGTTGTAAATGAATGCATCAGACCCCTTTTAATTCTGAAATGAATATAAAAAAATCTATGGACAGGAGAAAGCCCCAAAAATCAGATAGGCACATAAGTATTCATTGGGTTGAACTAGATTTATTTATTCAGCCATTCAAGAATTGAATTCGTCTGAATTATTTAAAAGAAACAGTGAAAAATGCAAGAAATATCAAAAGCAAGAACTTAAATGATATCATTATTGTTATAAATACCAAGTCATGAACCTGTTTGGTAGTTGTCTTTTGTCATAACTTAATGGTTTTTTGGTTAATTGGAAAACATAATGTTGATGACAGATCATTGATAGTATATGTTAATTTAATAAGGACTTTTGTAGACTGGGACAATTCATAGGCATGTGTTAATTTAATAAGGACTTTTGTAGACTGGGACATTTCATAGGCATGTGTTAATTTAATAAGGACTTTTGTAGACTGGGAAAATTCATAGGCATGTGTTAATTTAATAACTTTTGTAGACTGGGACATTTCATAGGCATGTGTTAATTTAATAACTTTTGTAGACTGGGACAATTCATAGGCATGTGTTAATTTAATAACTTTTGTAGACTGGGACAATTCATAGGCATGTGTTAATTTAATAACTTTTGTAGACTGGGACAATTCATAGGCATGTGTTAATTTAATAAGGACTTTTGTAGACTGGGACAATTCATAGGCATTTGTTAATTTAATAACTTTTGTAGACTGGGACAATTCATAGGCATGTGTTAATTTAATAAGGACTTTTGTAGACTGGGACATTTCATAGGCATGTGTTAATTTAATAAGGACTTTTGTACACTGGGACATTTCATAGGCATGTGTTAATTTAATAAGGACTTTTGTAGACTGGGACAATTCATAGGCATGTGCTAGTTTAATAACTTTTGTAGACTTGGGTTTCTGTTTTATTGAAATAATGGTACATTCTAAATCTCCTTCCATTCACACCAACAATAAAAATTAGGAAAAAGATTATTTCATGGCAGGAAACATAAGTTGAGAATAAGATGTACATAACTTTGTTAAAAGAGAAATAGACGGTAAAATCTTTAATATGTTTTTTTCCCTTTTTCAGTTTATTACGAAACCCAGTCACAACAAAGAAACATTACAGATTATACATTGTGTTTAAAATACCACAACTACGAGTTTTAGATTTCCAAAGAATAAAACAAAAGGTAAATATCACAACTACAAGTTTGAGATTTCCAAAGAATTAAACAAAAGGTAAATATCACAACTACAAGTTTTAGATTTCCAAAGAATTAAACAAAAGGTAAATATCACAACTACAAGTTTGAGATTTCCAAAGAATTAAACAAAAGGTAAATATCACAACTACAAGTTTTAGATAACCAAAGAATTAAACAAAAGGTAAATATCACAACTACAAGTTTTAGATAGCCAAAGAATTAAACAAAAGGTAAATATCACAACTACAAGTTTTAGATAACCAAAGAATTAAACAAAAGGTAAATATCACAACTACAAGTTTTAGATAACCAAAGAATTAAACAAAAGGTAAATATCACAACTACAAGTTTTAGATAACCAAAGAATTAAACAAAAGGTAAATATCACAACTACAAGTTTGAGATTTCCAAAGAATTAAACAAAAGGTAAATATCACAACTACAAGTTTTAGATAACCAAAGAATTAAACAAAAGGTAAATATCACAACTACAAGTTTTAGATAGCCAAAGAAAACAAAAGGTAAATATCACAACTACAAGTTTTAGATAACCAAAGAATTAAACAAAAGGTAAATATCACAACTACAAGTTTTAGATTACCAAAGAATTAAACAAAAGGTAAATATCACAACTACAAGTTTTAGATAACCAAAGAATTAAACAAAAGGTAAATATCACAACTACAAGTTTTAGATTTCCAAAGAATTAAACAAAAGGTAAATACCATAGTAACTATTTCCCCCTGTATTTCATGAGATTTTTGTTTCAAGTACATCCACCCAATATCCTTTATTTTAAAATCTAACATAAGAAATAAGCATTTTAAGATCTCCTGAGAACTTAAATTAAAAACAAAAGCAGTGAGTGTTAATTTCCAGAAAAGCTAGAGTAAATACATGGCTTCAAGTTTTCAAGCATAAAAAACTGTAGATGAAAGTAGTTTATTTCTAAAAAATGAATTATAAGGTGTAAACACCAAAGCCTTGATTCTAGATTTTATGAGAATAAATGGGGAAACATAAAAGCCACAGGTGAAAATTAAGTAGGGAATAAAAACCACAATTACAGATTTTAAATTTCTGTAGAGTTCAAGTGCTATACTGAAATCTGCTCTTGGTTGAACCTGGGATAGTAAAAGAGAATTAATTATCCCAGTTCACACTTGTTAAAATTATGCCCATTTTGGGGTTTCCTTCTCAACAAAAATAGAAATGTTTGTGCCGAAATTGTTACTCACAATTGTCCATGGATTTATGTACTTATTTTACATAACAGTTGCATTTTTAAAAATCTCAATTATTTAATGTCATTCCATGAACGTTAGTTGGAAACCTGCACCACCAGGTTTGTGAGTACAATGGTGCAATGTGGGTTAAAGCTCCTCTTGTATCTTGCTCTATGCCAATTTCTAAATTTTCCAAATGTTAAACAAAATTACTCTTTAGTAAGCATTAAAGTAAAGAAAAAATTTGTAAGGGTTCCGCGGAACCCATTGTCTCGCCTACTTTTGCTGTTGTCTATGTTTTCAGTGTGATAGGGCAATGCACATAATAGATTTACAGTTAATGAAATAAAATGTTTGAAATGTATGAAAAAAGTTATGCTTGTAAAAAATTAATACAGTATGCAATCAAATCTATACATTTATAAAAGAGTTCTGACGACGACAGAATGTAGGAATCGCTATGTCTCGCTTTTGCGACAAAAGTCACAGGCTCAACAAAAATAGGGAAAAAATTATTGAAAATTTTCCTCTAGATACTATCTTTTGATTGTTAGATTAGCTTCTGTCCAAGTTTGGTAAAAATCCAGGATGGTTTATGAATCTAATAAATGTTTTAAAAACTTTAACTGCAGACTGTATGTAATGTTTACTGGAAGAAAAACTAAGTCCATTTATAAGTAATATACGGAAAAACAGGAAATAAATTTTTACAAAATTTCCTTCTAGATACTAGGTTTTGATCATAAACAAGCTTCTGTCCAAGTTTGGTACAAATCCAGGATAGTTTAAGAAAGTTATTGAAATTTTTAAAACTTTAACCACAGAGTGAATATTTGTGGACGACGATGGAATGTAGGATCGCTACATCTCGCTTTTGCGACAAAAGTCGCAGGCTTGAAAAAAATGGTTGCATGGCCATTGTAAAGTCATTTAATTTGTTACTTTATTTGACTGTTTTAAAAAATTCTCAAAAACAAATCTTTCTTTACTACCAAACATTTTATTTCCTTATCTCATTTGCCACTGGACTTCAACCATTAAGTAATTATTTATTGTTGTAGGAAAGAGAAGCAGCATCTAAAATGTTTAAGGGAAAGAAGGGACAAGAAAGAGCGCAGGACATTGGGAAAAGAAGTAAAACATTTGTTCCTGGGGAAAAATTGGTGGAAAAGACAGGTCCTTCAAAAGAGGATGTGGAGTTAATAAAGGTACATTATTTTAAAATATTTGTATGCAAGTTAACAATGTTATTATGAACTAGCGGTAATCTAATATTTGCACAAAATTGTCATTTCAATTTTTAACAATGGTCATTTTATTCCCATGTGTGTGCAGGGGACATAGAAATACACGGCATCTGTCCGTACTGTCTTGTAAGTGCTCTCACATGTAAAATTCTCGCCAGAATTTTATCAGACTTCTATCAGTGGTTTATATTCGTAATGTCTGGGACAATTTCAAAAAAAGCAATGCTGATTAACTATTTTCAATAGAGTTATGCTCTTGGAAATATTAATTATATAAAATTGCATTGAAAGTGCTCTCACATTTACAATTCAGATTTATATCAAAATTATATCAGCAATGTCAAGATAATTTTGAAAATCAGTGCAGATCAGTAATTTTAAAAGAGTTATCCCTCTTAGAAATATAAATTATATGGAAAATTGTATGGTAACAGTAAGCATGTTCATGTGTACAATTCTTGCCAGATTTGAATGAAATCTATATCAAAAGGTTTATATTAGCAATGTCTAGAACAAGTTCGAAAATCAGTGCTGATCAACTATTTTAAAAGGAGTAATGCCCCTTGGAAATATTAATTATATGGGAAATTGCATTGTAAGTGCTCTCACGCCTACATTTCTGTGCAATATGTACAAAAAAAATTGTCCGTGGACAGATAAAATATGTGGAAAGTGGGGGACATTGGAACTCTTTTCTTTTATTGTTGAGTCTTAATTCGCAAAAGCGAGACACAGTCAACAATTAGGTTCAGTCTGTGGTTAAAAAGTGTTTAGACATCAATAACTTTGTGAAACCAACATGGAATTTTATGAAATTTGGACAGAAGCTTCTTTATGACTTAATTACAGTATCCAGAGCAAAATTTTATACATATTTATTTTCATTTTACTAAATTTTACTGATAAATGGACTTTTTTTTAACAGTTCACAAGTAGATACAGTTTTGGGTTAAAGTTTGTTACACATCAATTACTTTGTTAAACCTTCATAGAATTTTATGAAAATTTGGCAGAAGCTTTTTTATGATTAAGAGATAATATCTGAAGCAAAGTTTTGAAAATATATTTTCATTTTCAGTATTTTTCTGATAGATGGACTTAGTTTTTTTACAGTTAACATTTACAGACAGTCTGGGATTAAATTTTGTAAACTTTGGATTGCTATGAAACTTGGGACAGAAGCTTATCCTCAACACCAAGAAATAGCATCTAAAGAAAAAGTTAAAATTTTTTTAAACTCTATATTTTACTGATAAATGGACTCACTTTTTATGTCAAATGTTCAGTATCAAAGTCAAAATGAGAATTGGACCCAGTTTGCAACAGAGATCTTGCAATAGGAGGTGTACAAATGAATTCCTAGTGTTCAACTCCTTTCAATGTGCCTACTCATTTTTCCATGAATATTAATATATTTCGACGGTTTTCTTCAAATCTACAGCAACAGAATCCTCCATTTTATATGTTACTGCGCGCAAGATTGATAATTCCACCGTGTGAAAACACTTAAACAATTTGCCATGATCCTGGTCAGGGGCAATGTCAAAATCAGAATTTTTCTGAATGTCTTTTAAAAGATCACCTGTCTTAAGCTACCACTTTTGACACTTCCAATGAGTGACTGCTTAATACAGGTTTGACAGTAGATACCAGTACAATTTAACAATGTTAAAATGAACTAGTAACCGGTCCATGTTAATTACCATCTTATACAACCATAATACTGATAATTTGTCCTTTACAGAATGCTATTGCAAATGCCAAAACATTAGATGAAGTGGAAAGACTTAATCAGATGTTGAAGACAGGCCATATACCAGGGAAAGAAATCCGAAGACTCAGGGGTAAGAAAGGTTTTAAAATAAGGAAGTAATGAAGGTGAAGTGAACTCTTTAATATTGGGCCATATACCAGGGAAAAAAATCAAATGGCAAAGGGTTAAGAAAGAGATGATGAAAAGGAAGTATGCTTCATAACATTGGTAACCGTTAAAGTGTCCACCAGCATTTTTTTTTTTCTTTTAAGAGCTAGAGTGTGATTTGCCTGTATAAATGCTTGACTTGATAGTAGAATAAATGATTAGCCAGAAAATTATCAGTTAATTCAGTAGGTCTAGTGAACTACAACAACTCAGCATAGGCTAAACCCTAAGAAATTAAACACTTAAGTATCTATTGGAAGAACTATATGTAGAAAGGTTGAAATATAAAAAGAAATATTGTTCTTGAGAATGCTTGTGAACCATACAATATTTTTCAATGTCCAGTCATTAGCTATGTGTGTTATGTTTTGCAAAAGTGCCTAGTTCTAAATGCATTTTAATACTTCAAATATATGCAAAATGTTAAGAGGGGGGAAAATTCAAAACTTGATTGAAAATGCCTTTTTATATTAGTGCATAGTGTATTGCACAAAACCAAAAAAAAATTGGGTTGATTTTTATTTATTTTATTTTTTTTGGGGGGGGGGGGGGTCAATTCGCACAGGCACAGTGTATTGCACAAAAGCAAAAAATTGAATATAAATTCAAATCATATAACCAATTCTAAGTTCTTTGACTACAGTTATTCTGTGTCAGAAACCTATTATGTGTCAAATATTTAATTACAATCCAAATTCAGACCTGTATCAAGCACGAATATTGTGTCCATTTTTGCCCCAACTGTTCAGGGTTGGACCTCTGCGGTATTATCCAGCTGCGCCCAGCGAAGCAATTTATTAAACAAGAGATTAGTGTTTACCCATCATTTGACATGTACTGTCCACTATAGATGTTTGTTGTAACACTGATTAACTTTGTAGGTGAAATTGTCGAAGAAGAAGAAGACATGGAAGTGACGAATGGAACGTGATATCAAATGGGTAAGAATAAATATAAGGAGTAATTATACTGTGATTAATAGGGTCAGTGTATAGGGTTATAGATAAGATAAGATCACTCATGTTTCTGTGACATTCAAATAAATAGGCAAAAGTTGTAGATTTTTTTAATTTTCAAAAATGGAAATGATGCAGATCAAATATTTCGAAAGTTTTATATCATGAACAGTTTAAATGGCCTCTTGTTATATTTATTAAAGAGCTTTAATAGCAGTAATAAGGAATATTTATAATCTGAAGACTGATACTTTTATTTTTTATTACAATAATTATTTTTGGGGAAAAGTAGTAAAACAATCTGACATGAGCTTGAAGTATTTATAAAATTTATTGTAGAACAGTATTTTTCAGGTTGGTTGTATGATTGGAATAGATGTCTAACCAGTTCTCCAGATTTTTTTTTTTTTTTTAAATTTATTATTATTTGATTATATGTTTTCAATTCTATTGTCTTTCTAATTTCAGAAACAAGAAAAGAATTTATTTATTGGTGCAATCCAGGCCAACTTGTACATATTTATGAACATTTCCCTCAAATAAGCTGTTGTTTCAGCTTATACATTATTTTTAAAGGGTTATTTAGTGCTTTGTACATATAGGTCTAAAATGGGATCAATTATTAAGATCATTTTAGAATCTCAGGCAGCTATTGAATATTGATCCAATATGAAAAACAAGAAGTCCAACTTTCTTCTAGTGAAACAAGAAACCTATTCAAAAATTACTTTTCAATTTATAGTAAATGAGTAAAATATTCTCTTTTCTAGTTTAAAGGGGCATTAGCTGTCAAAATCAATGTTCACCGATTTGAATCAAATTCTCATATTTGATTTATAACCATACTAAAACGTATATCCAAATTACAATACGTCTGAAATGAACCGTTAACAGTGCATGTACTCGATAATATTAATTAGAATTTCGTGTGGTGTGTATTTTAGTCTAGACGCCATCTAATTAACTATCAAGATGACCTTCGAAGACTGCTGCCGACTGTCACATAACCCGATATAAACATAAACATAAATATAAATAGATAACAACCTCGTGCAATTGGATTTTTCTACGTCTGTTTGATTTCATGTTATAGGTTAAAAAAATAAGTTATTTATCGTTTTTACCTGAATAAGAATGATTTTTTGTGAATCGAATTAGTCAACGAAATGGTTCACCTTTGTTTCACTTTCAATACTGACATTCTTTTCCGTTTAATGGCTGAACACGACTAAAACATGCGTAACCAATCTCTAGCTAATGGGTTAAATTGAAGGTCACATGATTCAATAAGGTCGAATTTTTCACTTGCAAGTGAATAATTCATCAGCGATGTTTCTTTGCTTATTTTGACAAAATTGAACCAAATTGGTGGCTAAAAGTGATTTATTATTTCATAATTTCACTTTATTAATGATTGAACCGTACTAAATCATATTCTTTTTTTTTTATATCTCGTAGCTAATGCCTCTTTAAAGTTTGTATAAATTTGATAAAGTAGATTTCCACAATGAATTTATACTGTCTTTCAAATTTAACTTTAAATCATGAAAATTATTAATTGCTAAGGAGTTAGGTTGACTATTACCTATATGTTAAGCAATGTTAATGATTATATATCAGATATTAATTGTTGATAAGAATAAATGATACAGATTACACTACACAATTGGGTTGAAATTGACATTTTAATGTATTTAAAAGTTACATATACAAAAATTGAAATTGTAATAAAGGTTGAGAAGTGTTCAGACTTATTATTTATGTTTTACTTTTGAGCTCATCTGGCCTAAACGGCCATGCGAGCTTTTGCCATCACTTCATCATCCTTCCTTTGTCTCCCATCATAATTTTTTTACAAAGATCTTCACTGAAACTACAGAACCAATTTCAACCAAACTTTGGGTGAATGTTCTTAAGGATACCTAGCATAACGTTTGTGTTTTTTTTCCCCCAGTCAGTCAACAAACATGGTTAACATGGCTTTTAATAGAAAATAGGTTAAGATATGCTTTAATTGTCAAATATCTTAAAAAAACATAGTAGAAACAAAATATGACAGGAGTAGACATGCTCAGAATGTCAAAATCTACATTCTACATTTTTACCAAATAATCTTATTGCATTGTATCAATTTATTTTTGGTAAAAATATAAGGTGAGCAATACAGGCTCCTGAGAGCCTCTTGTTTTTTATACGACCGCAAAAAAATTTGCGGTCGTATATTGGTATGACATTGGCTTCGTCATCGTCGTCTGAAGACACATTGGTTTTCGCACAATAACTTTAGTTTAAGTGAATGGATCTCTATGAAATTTTACCATAAGGTTCAATACCACAAAAGGAAGGTTGGGATTGATTTTGGGGTTTATGGTACCAACAGTTAAGGAATTAGGGGCCAAAAATAAGCATTTTTCTAGTCTCCAGACAATAACTTGTGTTTAAGTGTGTGGATCTCTCTAACATTATACCACAAAGGGATGGTTAGGATTTGCTTTCGGGGGGTTATGGCTGAAAACGTTTAGGAATTAGGGGAAAAAAAGGGGGAAAAACAAGGGTGTCGTGGTTAATGGACAAATAATTTAGTACAAAACATAATTTAAAGCAATGTAAGGGAGGTAATTCAAATACATCATTTGAATTACCTCCCTTACACTGCTTTTAAATTATATATAAAGTAATGGTTAAAGAACAATTTAGAAATTTTAAAAGCAGTGTAAGGGAGGTAATCCAAATACAACGTTTTGATTACCTCCCTTACTCTGCTTTTAAATTATTTTTAAAGAAATGCACATTTATTAAGGAAGACAAGAAAAAATATCTGCAAATGTTGCATCTTTTTTTTTTTACAAAAAAATCCATATGAAAGATTTGACACCATATTTTAAATTCTATTATAAAATAGATTTAAGTTGGCACTATGGTAAATTTGAATGGGTAATTATGGTTGCAAACTCCATTGGAAATATGAATTGAGATTAAGACCATATCTTGAGGGAAAGAATTTTTTTGGGGGAAAAAGGGGTGGGGAGTAAAAAGAAATTGTGGGGGGTTAATTTTTTCTCATTTCAAATTTCAGAAATTAAAAAGAAAAATTCTTCAAACATTATTTTTTTTTGCCAAAAAAAAGTGTGTGTGGGGGGTTAATACGCAACAGCAGTGTATTGCACAAAAGCAAAAAAAATTGGGTGGGTAAATTTTTTTTTTTTTTTTTTTTGTGGGGGGAGGGGGTTCAATTAGCAACAGCAAAATGTATTGCACAAAAAGCAAAAAATTGAATATAAATTCAAATCATATAACCAATTCTAAGTTCCTTTGCTACAGTTATTCTGTGTCAGAAACCTTTTATGTGTCAAATATTTAATTACAATCCAAATTCAGACCTGTATCAAGCGCGAATATTGCGTCCATTTTTGCCCCAACTGTTCAGGGTTGGACCTCTGCGGTGGTATCCAGCTGCGCTCGGCGAAGCAATTTATTAAACACTAGTAACTGGTATAAATCTATGAAATAACTAAAGGAAAGATTGTACTGTTTAAACATACCCTATTCCAAAGGAGGGGATGTAATGGCCCACCCTTGTCTAGATAAATATACCCTATTCCAAAGGAGGGGATGTACTGGCCTACCCTTGTCTAGATAAACATATATCGAATGTATTCATTCAGTGTATGTTCACTTGTGTTAATATGTCTTTTGATTGAGTTAAGCATTTCAATTGATATTTTATAGTGTGTTTCTATGTTGTGATGTTACACTATTGTTTCAGATAAGGGTGAAGGTTGGTACATATTAAAACATTAAAACCCGCTGCATTTGTTTGCACCTGACCTAAGTAGTTGTCGCTTGTTGATGTGGTTCATAAGTGTTTCTCGTTTTTATGCCCCCGCCGTAGCGTACGTCCCAAAATTGGTTTCCGTTCTCTAACTTGAGTTTGCCTCAACCAAATGTTATGAAACTTATACACAATGCTAATTACCACAAAACACAGATCAAGTTTGAATTTTGGTGTCGTCACTTTAACCATTCTAGAGTTATGCCCTTTATAAATGGAAAAATTGCAAAATTTTTAATTTCTGTTCTCTTACTTGAGTTTGCCTCAACCAAATTTTATGACTTATACACAATGCTTATTACCACAAAATACAGATCAAGATTGAATTTTGGAAGCGTCACTCTAACCGTTCTAGAGTTATGCCCCTTTATAAATGGAAAAATTACAAAATTTTTAGTTTCCGTTTTCTTTCTTAAGATTGCCTCAACCAAATGTTATGAAACTTGTACACAAAGCTTATTACCACAAAACACAGATCAAGTTTGAATTTTGGTGTCGTCACTTTAACCGTTCTAGAGTTATGCCCCTTTATAAATGGAAAAATTGCATAAATTTTTAGTTTCTGTTCTATAACTTAAGTTTGCCTCAACCAAATGTTATGAAACATATACACAAGGCTTATTACCACAAAGTAAAGATCAAGTTTGAATTTTGGTGGGGTCACTTTAACCATTCTCGAGTTATGCCCCTTTATAAATGGAAAAAATGCAAAATTTTTAGTTTCCGTTCTCTAACAAGTTGCCTCAACCAAATGTTATGAAACTTATACACAATGCATTTTACCACAAAACACAGATCAAGTTGAATTTTGGTAGCGTCACTTTAATCATTATCGAGTTATGCCCCTTTATGAATCGAAAAATTGCAAAATTTTTAGTTTATGTTCTCTAACAAGTTGCCCCAACTAAATATGAAACCTATACACAATACTTATTACCTTAAAACTCAGATCAAGTACAAATTTGGGTAGCGTCACTTTTATAGTTCTTGAGTTATGTCCCTTTATAATGTTGGGGACACATTCTCCATTTATTTTATATAGATTAGACCGTTGGTTTTCCCGTTTGAATGGTTTTACACTAGTCATTTTTGGGGCCCTTCATAGCTTGCTGTTCGGTGTGAGCCAATGCTGCGTGTTGAAGACCGTACTTTGACCTATAATGGTTTACTTTTACAAATTGTGACTTGGATGGAGAGTTGTCTCATTGGCACCCATACCACATCTTATATCTATATACCCTGTTCCAAAGGAGGAGATGTACTGGCTCACCTTTGTCTAGATAAACATACCCTGTTCCAAAGGAGGAGATGTACTGGCTTACCCTTATCTAGATAAACATACCCTGTTCCAAAGTAGGGGATGTACTGGCCTACCGTTGTCTAGATAAACATACCCTGTTCCAAAGGAAGGGATATACTGGCCAACCCTTGTCTAGGTAAACATACCCTGTTCTAAAGGAGGGGATGTACTGCCCTACCCTTGTCTAGTTTAACATACCCTGTGATAAACATACCCTGTTTCGAAGGAGGAGATGTACTTGCCTTCCCTTGTTTTGTTAAGCATACCCTATTCCAAAGGAGGGGATGTACTATCCTACCCTTGTCTGGTTAAACATACCCTGTTCCAAAGGAGGAGATGTACTGGCCATCCCTGTCTTAAACATACCTTGTTCCAAAAGAGGAGATGTACTGGCCTACCCTTGTCTGATTAATCATAGCCCGTTCCAAAGGAAGAGATGTATTGGCCTACGCTGTGATCAACACCTTGTTTCGTAGGAGGGGATGTATTGGCCTACCCTTGTTTTATTAAACATACCCTGAACCAAAGGAATAGATGTACTGGCCTACTCTTGTTTATTTAAACATACCCTGTTCCAAAGGAAGAGATGTATTGGCCTACCCTTGTCTAGTTAAACATGCCCTGATCCAAAGGAATAGATTTACTGGCCTACTCTTGTTTGGTTCAACATACCCTGTTCCAAAGGAAGAGATGAATTGGCCTTCCCTTGTCTAGTTAAACATACCCTGTTCCAAAGGAGCAGATGTACTGGTCATCTAATGTTTATGATAAATGAGCAAAAGCTCACAGTATATTGTTTAACATGGTGATTCTCAGATCTGCTAGGCAGTCACTTGCTGTTTTTAAAAAACTTATATTTTGTTATACCCGCTGAGCATGAATTTCTTCTCGGTGATGGGGGCATTAAGGTTTACCCTTGTCCGTCTGTCCGAACGTACATTCCAAAATTGGCTTCCATTCTAGCAAGTTTGCCCTGGGAACAGTATATCTAATATATAAGTTCCTGGTTTGCCTCAACAAAATGTTATGAAACGTATACACAATGCTTATTACCACCAAACACAGAGCAAATTCGAATTTGGGTGACATGATTTTCACCGCATTTTGAGTTGTTCCTTTTTAAATGGAAAAACAATCGTATAAAACCTTAATCTTGAAGACGTTCAACATAAAATCAATCGTGGTCAGTAAAGCAGGCAAGACATTTCAGTGTTATTTATTCATTCTGTTTAGATTATCAAGAATTATGCCCCTTTGACCCTCTTCAGAACCAAACTTGTCATAAGAAGTCCTACAAGTTTCTTCACGAAACTTTGTATATTTTTAAATACTTATACATAGATGTGCGTGCAGTGGCGTAGCAAGGCCTTTTTTAAGTGTACGCCCGAACCTCGGCGAGTGGTCTGGATCCAGGGTGTAGCTCTGAAAGGGGCTCCTGTGGGGGACCCCCGGACCCCCACGGAAGCTCACGCGTTAACGAGAAAGAGATACAGGAGATGTGAGGTGAAAGTGCAAACCACATATCGTATCACAGCTTCCATAGAAATATAAAAAAGAAAACTTAATGAAAATGTTGTCCTTCATTTTTTTAGTTGTAATCTCTGTCCTGCATTTTTATTTTTCATTCTATTCGGTCCTGCCTTTTTTTCAAATTTCATCCTAGCCCTTTTTCCTTCAGTATGGCCACGAAGTGGTATATTCTGTTTTCACAAAGGATTATTACATCAACTATTTTTGAAAGTATATGTCGGTTTTTTGTTAGAATCTCATGATGAAAGGATGACAGTGGAGAACTTGAGAAGCTATTGACTTGGATATTGAATTTGCAACATCCAAAACGTCTTGTAAAAATTTTACACAATAATGGTGAGAAGAATCATCTTCCAGGTGTTGTTTTACATGTGACAAGTTTGACCAGTCATTTACAGGAGACAAAATTCAAAATTATTTTATTTTCATATCACATGTCGTTTGGCAAAAATAGTACAATAAACGTTTTACCTAGTTAAATCCTTAATGCTGTCTCCTTGGCTTCAGACTATCAGACACCACCACTTTCATTGTTAACAAGATTTTGTATATAATAAATTGCTTTGAACAATAGGAAATTGAGTAGAATTCACAGTAGATTCAGACTTTGACAGAAAATGAATAAATATGTAATATTATATCATTTGATTCAAAAAGTTAATGTCGTCATTGAAGATAATATTACCAGCCTCATGTGCTTTTAACCAATTATTTTAATTTATTAAGATTAAATTTTTTTTTCAAAATTCATGTGTACGCCCGGGCGTTTTGACGTAAACGTAGCTACGCGCCTGGCGTGTTAGTAGCATGCTCTAGGCTATTGAGTTTTCTTAGAGCATTCGTCTTTGAGCTTAGAAATTTTCTTCCCCAAGAGTTCCGACAGTCTTGTTATTTTCGCATAGGTTTGATTCACTTCAAACTATGTAGAATAATTTATCATGATATGCAAATATTACCGGGTCGATACCTCTGCTGGTGGACTATCAGTTCCCGAGGGTATCATCAGCTCAGTAGTCAGTACTTCGAATTGTTGCCTTAAGGATTTTTTATCCTTTTTATAACCGAACTAGTAATTACAACTTCTATATAGTGCATGGTTTGTCGTATCTAGAAAGTAGTACATTTTTTGATTCTTAAATGCAGATGTTCACGTGGGTATGATGTTCCTATCAATAGAGCTTTCTTGGTATCATGCCCCTTTCACCTTCGAAAGTTTAGCCTTGTCCAACACCATATATGCAACTCCTGCATATTTTGTCGTTTTTACAGGAAAAAATATATATTGTTAGACCCTGATCTGCAGCGAAATTTAAGTTCTGTCCAGCTCCTACTTTTTTATTGCAACTCCTCAAAGATGGTTCATTATATTTATATAAAACTAAGTATATTGTTATATCCTGATAATCAAATATGCATGTATAAAGGATGTGCATGCATCCGAGACAAAATTAAAGATAACACTAAAAACGTCCAATATCAACTTTTTCTATTTCCTATATTTCCGTCACTGACATACTCAGTCAATCCAGGATGCGGAGGGTATTACTCCAGTTTAGTGGATAGTTTTAGCTCAACCTGTCTAGCCTGTATTTCCGTCACTGGCATACTCAGTCAATCCAGGATGCGGAGGATATTACTCCAGTCTAGTGGATAGTTCTAGTTCAACCTGTCCAGCCTGTATTTCAGTTACTGGCATACTCAGTCAATCCAGGATGCGGAGGATATTACTCTAGTCTAGTGGATAGTTCTAGTTCAACCTGTCTAGCCTGTATTTCCGTCACTGGCATACTCCGTCAATCCAGGATGCGGAGGATATTACTGCAGTCTAGTGGATAGTTCTTGTTCAATCTGTCTAGCCTGTAATTCCGTCACTGGCATAAGCAATCAATCCAAGATACGGAGGCTATTACTCCAGTTTGTGGTTAGTTTTAGTTCAACCTGTCTAGCCAGTATTTCCGTCACAGGCATAGTCAGTCAATCTAGGATACAGAGGGTATTACTCCGGTTTAGTGGATAGTTCTAGTTCAACCTGTATAGCCTGTATTGCACACTTTTGTTTGAGTCTACCCAATCTGATTTTAACCGCTGGTTTCCTCAAAGTATTAGCAGAAATACATTACTAGAGTTCTGGTATCAGCTATATCCATCTCGACAAGAATTAGTAGACCGTTCTTGTCCTTGATTTCCTTACGACCAGGCTTTCAAAATTGTGTTATCATTCTGCTGGAGGCTCCTTGTACTGTCTGCTGCCTCTTGGGTGTGTGTTGTCAACAACTCTTTTCAAAATCCGAGCATGGCTGCTAGTATATGTGCTCCTCGGGCATAATTCTTAGAAGGTAGAAAAGATGCCAAATCATAAGTCCGATAAAAACAAACAACGCCATGGCCAAAAAAGAAAAACGACGTAAAAACAACAATAACAAAAGACTATACAGAAAACTAAAGATTGAGCAACACTAACCCATGTGATCCAGAAGGGTAACCAGTTCATGGTCACGGGGAGTACTAGTGGCACCCGTCAAGTCATAATACTATATCTGTATTTCTTTCCTTGGATGCTTTTTTTGCTATGTGCAGTTTTGGACCGTGTGTGCTATCTGTGAGAAACTTATTGTTTGTCATAGGTTGGACGTTTCTGTGTCCATTACTTAGGTCATCGGTGTTTGCATACCTGTCTGTCTTACTCCTGATTCCACCAACCTTACATACTTCTAAAGTTTTTAACCATTTTCAAATGCACAGAATAACTAGTATATGGGATCCATACGAGGGTTTGTGACACTACTGATCAGAGTCCAAGCGCATCTGCTAGGACCTGTCTGACGATAGCTTTTACTTGTATTCCCCATTCACATAGTTGTATTGATATTGTGTCCCAGTACAGTTAGAAATTTCTGAACCCATCTATATTCCAATCTTTTAACTCTGGACTCCATCCGTGTGTGTAACTTGGCTACAAGCTTTGAGAATTGCCTGTCCGGGGTAATATTACCTCTCATATCTCAAAACCACTCCGCGTACACGTTAAAGCTCAGCTTTATTTTTTAGATGAAATCTGCCTGTTATCACTGATGAGCGCCATTGTTACTAACGTGTCTCTCCTTCTCCTTCAGAAACATATCCTTCCCTTCCCTTTTATCCATCATGTACATTAATTTTTTACGATGCAATTCTAGGACCTACACGTGGTTACTAGAAGTCACTATATTCACCACGAAGTTTATCCTGGACATTTTGTTAAATTATAATGTGCAGACTAAATGAATGAACAAACTTTAAACTTTCTTCAAATCAAAATCAAAATTCAACCTTTTATTTGACATTAAAATGTCATAACTTCTGAGGGGAAAAAAATGATCACTGTGATTAAATATGGTAATTTTGTTTTTATTCTATGATTTGTTTTCATTGTAACTTTTTACCAGAACCTGGGAACGATAGAAGAATTGCCAGCATTTGTCTCAGTCAGAACATTTTCATGCAAACTTATCAATCGCGGAGAATGTGCAAAACATTTCATTTGCATGCAAGTTTTGCAAGGGCGATCAAAATAGCTGTTTTTAGTTTTTCTGCAAGGAAGGTGAGAATATTTTCTGTTAGAATTTTCATTTGTAATTTTTACTTGTTTATTGCTATAGTTTCAACTCGTTCAGGAGAAAAACATCCAACAACGGCCATTTGTAACTTTTGATTTGGTTTTTTATATTTCCGCGCTTTTTTCTGATTCTTTGCAATAAGTTGGACCAATTGCCGAAAGTAAGAGATTTTCTGAGCATTGTATGCACGACACATTTTTCTTATTTGTTTATGTATTTTGTTAAGATTCATTTTGCGGCCCGGTTTACCTTTACCTGTTCTGAAATCATACCGTCATCTGCAGAGAAAACAAACGGAACATTTTAGGTCTTGCTTCAAACTATAACTTAGCTATGTTGTGTATTTCTACTGAAAAACTGACCAGGAAACACTAACATTTCAAAACATTACGGTCGTTGGTTACTTCTAAACGTTAAGCCTTTTTTAAAGGTATACGCGATATCCCATTCCCCTAAAATTTAGAACCGACGATTTAAATATCCCTTTATCCCTGCATAACTGCAGAGTCTGGGACATGATATATTTTTAGTAATACTATTCGCAGCCCATACTGATTTACTCGCACACTTAGTCTTTTAAATATAGCCTATGTGATACCCCATATTTCAAAATCACTTGTAAAAAAGCGAACTCTACTCATCAACAATGCTTTAACTTGTAATACTATTAACTTTACAGTTTCGAGATGAATAAAATCTCGAAGTTTAAAATATCAGTTTGTACAGGTCGTGAGAAACAAGTCTGTTGCCAGTTACACAAATCACACACTTCTAACAGTTGGTTTGTTTTCGGCACTGTGTGATTTTTAAGTTTGATAAATATAACGTTAATTTTGTCACCTTTGTTCTCTTATACAACACAGACCAGGTGCCCTCTAATTGGTAACGGACAATACCTTCATTATTGATTCTCTTTTCGGTAACGGTAAACTGTATCGATCGCACGTGTTACGTTCAGGTCACGCCTGTTTACCATATTTAGCACTCTACCTGGATCTTTTGTCCCGTTAGCGGCACGCGACCAGATGACATCTGTTATATTGTCAACAAAACAGGTGAAAATGACATGAAAGAAAAAGTGTCGGAAATATCTGCATATGTTAATGACAAGTTACAAAAGCATTTATTCATTTTGTTGTGTTTAATATTTAATCCACTTTAGATACCATTTATCAACCTTTCTTGGACATGTAATATTGTCAACAGACCGTTTATTCCCGCATGCCAGCTACACACTATACCACTTGAAGGGAATTCGTTTTTTTTTTATATTAATATTTACACTTTATGCACTATGCAAAGACATATGCTTGATATTTTCATGTTTTCCACATTTGAAAACATTTCAAAGATTACTGATGTTAGTAAAAAAAATATGTTATTAATACATGTAGACTTCTGGTAATAGCTGACAACCGAAAAATTATTTTTATTTCCCGGAAACCAGAATTTTTATTTCCCGGAAACCAGAATTGAGTAGAAAATACACCTTTAAACTGGCTGAAAATATTTGAAAAATAATTAATAGAAAAAACATGTAAATAACTTTAGGTAAACATCTGAATAATTTTGATGTGTTGATTATCTGCAGAAAGGGGACTTCTATATATTAGCCTGAGAACCTTGCTCGCTATTTGACGAGAAGCACAGATCGGGCCTGGATGTCCGGCTCTTACAGATAGAAGAAGACGCAAAGCTTTAGGGGACATTTTTAGAGCCATAGTGAATACCATCGAACCCAACAAATTGTACTCCTGTTTATGAGTGCATGGGGCTAAAAATTCACATTTTAACTGAATTATTTTTTGTGTTTGTTTAACAGAAGTGTGTGACAGGGACACACGAAATCGGGTATTTTAAGCATAATGTTTAAAGATGAAAGGACGATATCGGATTACGACAAATCACTTAACCCCCTACCCTTTTCCAGAAAACCACATCTGGTGTATGTCTTCTCTCACGCTGGGTAGAATTAATAAGATAAGTAGACACTTCCTGACATACCCGATAATATTATCTAATCAAATACTACGACAATTGTTGTTTACATTTTTTTCCTTTCTACGCTATTTTTTCTGTAAACGTTTAATAAAGGCATATTTTTTTCTTTCTTTTCATAATATATTACAAAATAAATCTACTCTTTTAAAATGAAGAGAATGTAACCATTAATTTTGCGATCACAATGAGTCACAATATTTTCATTCTAAACGCATTTGTTACAATCAATTTTGAAGCCTACACGGGAAAAAATGAGGTTTCATAATTTCTTTTTACATTATGAGAAATTAACCCATCATAACAATTGTTTGATTTGCTTATTTAATTCTTCATATTCGTTGTCCTTTCCTCTCTCTTTCTTCCTCTTTTTCTTTATTGTATTGTATTATTTTTTTTTAACATTTTTATTTTATCAATCAATTAATATTATTTATATTCATATTTTTAATTAATTCATAGCGAGATATGAATATAATAAAGCGTGTTACAAATCATAAAAGTTAGGGGAAATCGAACAGCTGTTAACGATCAATAGCCCACCCTTTGTCTCGGTAGACCAATCACGGGGATCGATTGACGGGGCCACCGCACGTGGCCGTCGCGAGAGCTTGTTTGTATTAAGATTATTAAACCAGGGGATGATAACGGCATTATTGAATGGTAGCGAATATTTTCTTTGTGTTCACAATAGACATGTGATACTCGGGGAATATAACGGTCGATGACAACTGTCGCTGTTATAAGAGGGATTTGACAGTTCAAATTTAAAACATTCGATTTGGATATCTTGAAGGTTTAAGTTCGTTGTTTGCTACTGAAACGATTTGTAACCAATATTTACGATAAACATTGAGATTTATTGGGAGAGAGATTTTATGATTATGAGTGTATTGATTTAACGTGACGTTAGCATTACAAGTATTGATCCGGAGGATGGTATGTACTCGACATCAGATCATCCAAGATGGATGCGAGGAACAATGGACCTGGAATAAAAAGGATAAATCTCACGAAGTCAAGGTACAAGGAAAAAGATACTTAACTGCACACTTCCACCCTAACTGGTCTAATGGTACGGCGGGTGTCCGAGGCAGTGTACCACTTAATTATGGAAGACATTACTGGGAAATCAAGGTATCGCAGAGAATCTTTGGAACCAGTATGATGTTTGGAATAGGAACAAGACGTGCTAGATTACATGTAGATTCATTTGTTAATATGTTAGGAGAAGATGAACACAGTTGGGGACTTTCGCATAAAGGACTTCTTTGGCATAACGGACAGTGTAAAGAATTCACGAAACCTTTCACAGAAAACCAAGCTACTACTTTGGGAATGCTTTTTGATTGGTTCGAAGGAACTTTAACATATTTCAAGGACGGTGTGAGTCTCGGTGTTGCTTTTACAGGACTGAACAATATTGAAGAGGACTTATTTCCTTTAGTTTCGTCAACTGCGGCCAAAACAGAGATGACGTTAGGAATTCGTCGTCGAGCGTACTTAAGTTTACAAGACCGATGCCGTGCGACGATTCTGTCCAGTGTAAAGAGACAAAACGAAATTGACATTCTCCCTCTACCAAAAACGATCAAAAGATTCTTGAAAAATTATAACAACAGTACATGTAGGTAACAAATGTAGCATGTTTTTATTTGATGAAAAGTTCTATTATGTTTAAACTATTTTTTTATGGTTATTCTTATTTTCAATGCAATCAGCAAATTCTTGAAAATCTCAAATTTCATATTTTCGAATTTCATTTTTATATCTTAATACAATTCTAATTTCATCCAATTTAATTGTTCACATTATTCATAATTTAGAAGAAGTCACGGTATTGAACAACACAGCGACAAGTCCGTTATAAACTATATCGATTAATCGTGCCAGCTGCTGCATAATTCATGCACATACAGTAATAAAAATATTTGACTTCTTTGTTTGAACATAACACAGATTTATAGTAGACATAACTATTTTTTTTATGTGATTGTACATTTAAGTAATTTTAATTTATTTAATTTATATTATTGAATACGAAATGTGTTAATATTTCAATTTGGATGAGTTAATCTAGTCATTGTGATAACTTATTTAATCAGAACGAGTGAGGAGTGCGCGCGTGTGTATGTGTGAGTGTGTTTTCTGAGATAAAATGTATGGTTGAATGTATGTAAATTAAGAACGGATAGAAATGTTGCATAGTATGTCTGTGTTTTGAAGATGAAAACGAATATTGATGAATAAAAGCGCTGACAGGAAGAGATGTGTGATTGTTTGATTGATTTTATTTATTATTGAACGGATCTACAGAAATCCTATTGTAATCTAATTATTTTGTGTGATGTTCTAGAATCTCGGGCTGGGACCCAGTGCAATACGAACAAATTCATTCTTCATTGTGTTATAAGGTTTTCAACATGATCTCATGAGTAGGTTATGTATATATTTATAGATTATTTATTGTTGTCATGGAAATCATGTTGTACTTCATTGATACATGTATCCTACTTTATTTCGGTTTTCAAAGTATTTCCCTCTGTGATATTGTTTCATTTCTTTGTATTCAAACATCCAATGTTTTTTTTTCTAAATTTCGTTTTCCTCCAATTTTCGGTTAATTTTGAAGAAAGGTCAAATGGAAATATAAAGAACAAATGCTTGAGGTTGTCATTTCCTTTTTCTTCGTTGAAAACGGGTGAATTTTGTATTTTCGATAAAAGGAAAAAGTAGTTGATTTAAATTTGAACGAATGTTGAAACCTTAACATGAAAATGTATTTTGCTATATTTATAAGATTTTGTGTACTTATTATGTTGTAATACAATATGAAACTTATTACTGATGTTTGTTGTTTTTCACCCATTACACTTATTGCTGTATTTCAACGTGTTTCAGGTTTTTCAGTTTACGATATGTCAAAAGTTGTTCTGTGCAAAGTAAACGTACAGGTAATCAATATTACTTTCTGGAATAAGCTGGTCCAAATAAGGAGTTCTTTGAATCGAAATTCCTCTCTCTCTCTTATTTTTTATCAATGTGTCGCAAATATTCCCTGGTTTAAACCTCATCAAAATTTGCTTTATCCGGCCCTGCACTTCATACGAACTTAAGTTGTGCAGTATGTAGTTGACAGTAACATCTACCACCCAATATCATAGAGAAAAACTCACAACCTCGGTGTTGACAGGCTAGTGATACAGTAGTTGAACTACAGAGACCTCGGCCCCGAGGCCCCCAATTGTATACAAGAGACAAACCTTTAACAATGTTAAGAGGATTGAGAGCTTGACGGTATAGATACCTACCTATTATTGCAGACCTTATGTTGACATTAAAGATTTATTGTGGTTAGTGTGTCGTCATGTTGTCTCATTATAACCAACATCTCCTTTCATTCATAAAAAAACACTGTAATTTTTATTTGTTTGTCTTCAACAATGAGTCACAAAACATAGGCCTGGTTTTGGACGGACGGTGACATTTTCCGTGTTTTGTAGCCTGATCTCGTTATTTTTAGTGTGAATTTGTCATCTAGCTTATACTTCCAAGTGTTGATATTGTTAAACTTATAATAGCAGGTAACTTATTTATTCGACTTGACCAGAATATAGCGATCTTCATCTATACAGTGTTGTGAGCATGATAGTCCTTCCAGCAAATTTACTTTTTTGAGGCTATACACCTCCAACACTAGAAATGTTTGCATTTGGTCCATAATTTTCTAGAATAAAAAAAAATATTGAATATCTTTCCATGTTAACATAGTTAACCTAGCCGGACACATTGGTAAACTTATGGCGTAAAACAATGGCCCATATTCATAATGTTAAAAGCTCGTATATGTTTTAAACTGATGCATTACACCACACGTTGTGTTGAAACTGAGGTTTCGACCAACAAATTAATATTACTGACCAATGAAGAATATACAGAAATAAATGAAGAATGTGTCCATGGAACACAGATGATGCCCCCGCTTGCATCTAGCATTATAAAGGGACATAACTCAAGAACGGTAAAAGTGACGCAAACCAAATTCGAACTTGATCTGTGTTTTGTGGTAATAAGCATTGTGTATAAGTTTAATAACATTTGGTTGAGGCAAACTAAAGTTAGAGAACGGAAACTAATTTTGGGAAGTACGGACGTACGGTGCGACGGGGACTTCAAAATATAAGAATAAGAAAATACAAAAAAAAAGCAAACAATAAAACAAGTCTATACAAATGCAAGTATGATTATGCCTGCATGTAGACCATACTTACCGATTTTTTTTTAACAAATTCAGCGAATTGATGCTTCTCAAATGGAAATCCTCTTTTACATCCACATGGTCGTCGCTTCAATGTATAAAATCTATTTTACAACACATGGCATGATAGTTTAAAATTCATTTTCCATCACTTAGTTAGACCTACAGGTCGCAGGGAGTCTCCAAGTCAGTCGTTCAGTTCGTCGGATTGTCTAGAAATGCAAGTTCATACTTATACAGTCCGAGATTTCTCTGCGGCCAACCGGAAAGCACACATATTCTTCTGAAACAGGTCTTACGACGACTGTAAAGGTAACAAAATTTTCACCATGACGATCGGGTCGTTTATGCCTAAAGTTAGCACATGACATATGGTAATTATCATAGATTCCCCCTGCATCCGGGAAGGTACCCATCAAGCCATAAAACAGCCTGTCGGGTAACTGGTGATGTAAGAAACCCCCTACAACACACACACAAAGAGAAAGCAACCAAACAAAAAGATATTAAACAATGAACACTTGCAAGCATGACAGGATGATTCCGTGAAAAATTACATATTCGCCGAAAGTATTCAAAACAATGTAACAGTCTGATGCAACAATATGTCAATCATTGTAATACGATATAAAAATTGAATTACTTACAAGGTTTTTCCCCGTTTGGAATACAACTTTTCAGCCATAACAGTGCGAGTAGTTATCAGATGACCTGGCTGCACATGTAAGGGACTGACTGGGAGCCTCTAGGATGACAGAGCACTCTTCGACTATCAAGCCATGACCAAACTTTAGAGTTCTTAATGAACTGTATAGGGCGACTTTTAGGATAGAGAATTCGAACCATTTAAGTTAAAACAATCATCCGATGAACCAAATATGATATACTTTATAGTCCTAAAAAGCGATCAAAGATACCGTGCTTATAATTTTTAGTATACACGATGCTCGTTTCATCCACACATGTACAATACTCATTAGTGGCATTCGAATTAAATAGTTTGAAAAGCAAACAGATTGAAGAGCACTGAAAACCAAAAGATCCAAAAAAAGTTGAATGACTTTTAGTATACTGTAAATTCAGAAATTATTGCGTGCATTTATTATTGCGATTTTGTCATTTTAGACTAAAATGCGGTTTTAATTTTTGCGATATTGAGAAAAATCCTGTTTAATTCATATAAAAACTTTCAAAATGCGTGTTTAAATTATTGCGATTATAACCCTGTCGCATTTTTCGCAATAATTTCTGAATTTACAGCAAGATTCCTAATTAATGGCCAAAGACTCCTCTCTCATTTGGAAGGCACCTTATCATTCTTATCATTCGTAAAAAAAAATGTTATGATAAGGTATTGATGTATATCATTGTCAATCTTTAGAAACGATGTTTCCTTATAATATTGACCAATCAAATGATTGATTAAAGTTAATTCTCGCAAAGAATCGAAACCTTTGTTCTATTTTTAGATGTCGAGAAAAAGGGGGGGGGGGGGGTGAAACTGAGACCTTCGACCAAAGTGAAATTTGAAAATTAATTTTAAGTGAAATGGGAATGCTTCCCCATATATTCTTGCGGAATTTCTTGTCAACAATAGTCAATATTCTGCCTAGCTCCTGCATGCAGTTTCCAAGATGAAAATTGTTATTTGAGTCAAAAGGGACTGGCGGTAAAAATTTTGGTGTCCTTTTATATTAAATGAAATCCAGGGTTGAAATCCAGGGTTGATCTAATCTTGATTTGGATTTGAACACTTTTAATGTTGTTAATTTACGTTTCTGCGATGTCGATGGCTGTTTTCGATAGATTGACTTACTTTTCCATAAATATAAAATGGCTTAGATACATCTATGATTTTCCGAATCGCTTTGCCTTTTTTTAAACACATGCTCCTATCGTAACATGCTGTAGTTTTACAATGAAAACCCCAGCTTTGATATAATCATTTATCATTCGAGTCATTAGATTTATATATATATATATCTGTATTACTTTTATGTTTTTGTATTTTTGTGTTGTATTTATATTATATCAACATGTTTTGTGTTTCTCGTGTATTTTTGTTAATAATTGATGATAGTCAAATAATTTGACTCTAATGTCAATAAACAATATTTGATTTGATCTGATTTTGCTGCGCCCTATGTAGCTATCTATTTAAACGAGGCGGCATTGAGTGACTTATTTTTTGGCTCAGTACGGTACTGTACCTCAGTAATGACTTATGTTAAAGCAGTCGCTTTTGAGATGAATTTTGGTTCATTTTGGAATGTTTAGGCCTTACCTCATTTGATCATAAATGTTTTATGTAGGTTTCATGCGGGTAAATCTCATTCATGTAGAGGAAGTCAACGGTTTGGTTTACCGAGTTCACATGGCTTGTCTTTTTACTATGATCGTAACTTTCATTTTGTTGATTTTATTAGTTAGTCTCAATTTGGTATTGCTCTATTTAATGTTGAGCTTAACCCAACCAGATGTATTTGTATAAACCACACTTTATAATCGTGTCTCCTTTACCCTAAACTAACTGTTCATAGCTTACAACAGTAACAATACCTTGACCACCAACACCACCCGTTATATTCTTTCTCCTCCTGCAAAACTGTTATTGAGATTATAGTACCATTAAATTGTGATACAAATATAGATAGCAGCTACACACTCACAGTTTAAAAAAAAATATCAATTTAACAAATAACCGTTCCGTCTGAAAAGCGGTTCCATGCTAATCTGTGAAGGTTTTCTTAGATTATTTCAGTACGACAAATTCGTAATTTTCATGATATTTACCCACGAAAAAGTCCTTCTATACTGATTTTTACGACAATGGTACTTGAACCAGCTATAATCACTTGCTAAACTGCATGCCTATTAAATGTTTATGGAAATAATGCCGAGATGGTTGTTTTCCCTTTTGTTGTTGTTTTGTTAATTATTTTATTATTGATGTTGCAGGGGCGGATTTAGAGGGGCTATAGAGCTACACATTAGTTAATGCATAGACTTTTTATATGTCCTACTCTAAATGTTGCCTAGTTTGGGACCCCACTTTTCAAAATCCTGGATCCGCATCTGTGTTGGGTTTTTATATAGAGAAATGTAGGGCTTTGCTGTGCGACTTATTACTTGAAATTACCTTTGGTATCTTTCGTCTCTCTTTTAAGTCGGGTATAGTATATTAAAAATCTAAGACAAACATCCTAAAATACAGTAAGCTGCAAAAGAGAGGCGAAAGATACCAAACGGACATTCAAACTCATAAACCGAAAACAAACTGACAATGTCATGTCAAAAAAAGAAAAGACAAACAACAGTACACAAAACACAGCATGGAAAACTAAAGACTGAGCAACACGAACCCCCACCAAAAACTGTGGGTGATTTAAGGCGCACCGGAAGGGTAAGCAAAACCTGCTCCACATGTGGCACCAGTCGTTTTGCTCATATGAATACAAAATCGGTGATACATCTAATTCGGTAGGTCACATTCGAGGAAAAGAGGACGGGATTGTGATTACGACGATACGTTATTTGGATTCGGCATATTTGACAAACAAATTTAAACATAAGCTCTAATGAGCTTTTCACTGAATATAAAAACATTTACAATAACAAACAAAACAAGGCATGCAACATGCAAACAAATAGTAATAAAACAGCACACATTGACTAGCATATACATGTATAACACTAAAAAAATATATATGAAGCACTAAGACATGCTATAAAAAAGAAATTTAAAGTAAAAACTATATAATTTTTGTAATTATTATAACGTAAAAAAAAATCAATTGCAATGCAACCTGTTAATGCAGCATAAAAATGCATCAATAATGTATCAAAACTTACCTGCAGGCATCAAAAACAGTCCTATCCACTCTAGGACTGAACAAGACTTCTAAAATGTGTGAAGCTGTTTTCAGTCCTGAAGTGGTCCGGTAAACTATTCCACAAAGAAGCAGCAGCAAAGTTAAAAGATTTCTTTCCATATGAGGTAGTTCTTACCTGTGGTATTTCCAAAATGTTACTGTATTTAAATGAATATTTAGTGTGTTTAATGTGAAGCAAATTTTGTAAACATATAGGAGCCAAATTATTCAAAATTTTGTAAGTCTCAAGTGCCATTGTCCTGATGCAGCTCACTTGTAGGGTTGGAACCTTTGCGTTCTCGAGAAGAGTTTCAGAGGATGATAAAAAGTCGTCATAGACGAATCTTAATGCTCTCTCTTGTATTTTTTTCTAATTTTTTTGAGCTTTTCTCTGTACAAAAATGCCAAGCCAAAGGGCAAAAATTAAAATTACTCAAAATGAAAGTATGCAAAATTGTAAGTTTATTCAATCTGGTTAGATAGGATCCAATTCTCTTGTGAACATTCAGCTTTTGTGATGCTTTTCTACACAAGTAACTTATATGTGCATCAAATTTTAGTTGGTAATCAATATCAATTCCAAGTAACTTGACGATTTCTTCAGATGATAACATATTTTGATGAATTTGGATAGATGGAAAGATATGATTCTAACAAAGATACAGAATGTGGGGAAACACCATATGTTAATAAGTTATCTAATAAAATATCATGAGATAAACAGTCGAAAGCTTTTGATAAATCCATAAGAACTACAGCTGTATATTTTTTTTTGTCTAGGTTTACGCCAGTCTTCCAGTAATCTGAGCAGCGTAGTCTGGGTAATCTATAAAGCGAACGTGAAGTGAAAAGATAATGCTAGCTTCTTATCATTCGTCCTAAGAATTTCCTGTATGAAGTCATACAGAAACTACCAAGACATTTAATTAAAAATATCATTAATACATAATACAATAAAATAAAAATGTGCACTGGCCCATGTACCTTATCTTTGCTAGCCACTGGTTACAAACCGGTCAACTCCTCTCCATCTCCGGAGGCTTTCTCATGTACAATAACTCGAATAATTCAAGCCCTTTCCGTGTCCGATTTTCTACCACACGTAATGTAGCCTTCGTAGATCAGCGGAATATAATAGGCTGGTCCTCTCCCTTGCAACATATACCTTTGTTATATCTGTCAGAGCCAAACAGATAAAGGACAGAGAACCAGTCTACGGAATATAACGACTAAATTATTCGGGTTACGGTCAAAAAGGCGGACAGTGTCGGACCGGGAGAATACGTAATCATTGGCGTTATTGATTATCGAAGAAGTGCACATGGAGAAGTAGAAAATGAACAAAGTACCTTATTTAAAAGAAAACAATAAGTAAAATATCCTGAAACATTCCAGATACTATTTTACGTACGGAAAATTTTGGCAACATGGTTGTCCGTAAAGTGGAAAATAAACACTTCACGGGTAACAGGTTGTCCATAAATTGTAAAATAAACACTTCACCGATCAACAGATTTTCAAACACACTTTACAAGTTTCCGTCCCCTTCTCTATTTGAAACGAACAGCAGGGAAAAAAAGAAAAAAAAAAAAAACGCAAAACATCTCACAGATTTTACAGTGATTTATATGACGATTGAAACCGTACAGTTTAGGCATAAAAAAAACAGCAAATGAACTGTACCTTTCTGAACATGTGTAAGATTTGACAGAAATAAACAATAACATCTTGGCTGCACACAATTTTATTTTCTGAACAAACAGACAAAAGCCAGATTTTTACATTTGTTGCTGTTATTGATTTTTGTCATACATTCAATATACATGTCACTGTTTTCAAGTATTCAAAACTTTTATCTTGACATAGTGTCATAGCATATTGTTAACATAACATTCAAGTCTGTGTTGTTATGCGACATAAAAAAAACGCACTTACCAGACCTACACAAGTACATGTACTGGCCAGCATTGTATCATATAGCAAGGTATCCAGGGTTCTCCAGACTGCACTTCTTTATCCTCTGAATCAGAGCTGTAGCTTCCCTTGATCCAATGAGGCAAAAGCCTCACCAAATTTTTTACCCTGAAAAAAAAAGAGAAGATAAAAAGAGATAAAACATAGAACATGTATTCCATTAATAGTATTGAGTGAAAATGCTTCCAAAAATTTGACTTCTCTGCCCTTTTTTTTAACATAAAAAGTCCTCATTGTGAACTATAACACTAACTCACCAACTAGTCCCAACATTGTTTCATAAGAATTACAAAGGTAGACACAAATTTCTTGTTTAAGGAATGGACAAATTATACTTTGTAAATAAATCTGATTCAAAACAAAGTAAATCTGATTCAAACAAGCGGTCAGAACTGTGCAACTGACATGATATTTATTTCTTATTGCTTTTGGTAAAATGTTTGGTGGACGTGGCTTTGAACAGAAATGGCTAGGCATGTTCCTATGAGAACCAACTATGCTCCTCTTTCCACTCACATGTATCTTCATTTATTTGTGTCAGACTTCATAGTTCGGCCAGCCATAATGTATTCATGCATCAAGTAAACGTATAAAGTTACAAGGCAATGTTGACCTTAAACATTAATGAACATTAAAATCCCCAAATCTGTACAAAAGGTTGATAGTGGTTGGTTGTCATGATTTTGTCAGTTATATTTGTTTTAGTCATGGTCTGTCCTGAATTTTCACCTTTATGCAAAAAAGTACACAAACCTGGATTTGTTCATAGACAATAACTGTGTGCTTGTATTAATCAATCATACACTCCCCCCCCTCCCTCGTTTCCTAAATATGGTTGGAATATTTGTCAATTGATGTTAGGCAAACATCAATCAATCAATCAAAACTGTATAAAATACAACTTTTTGCATTTGTAAATTCTGAAAACTTTTTTGCAACACCAGATTGCCATTGACCTGTTAAAAGTCCATTTTCCATATCCGCATCATGGTCTTTGAAATGGGCTGAGGCTTTGACTCCCAAGCCTCAAATTGTTTGCCTCACTAGAAATAAGGGTAAAGCTACGCCACTGTGTTTCAAATGCAGAATTTTATGAAATCTATTTGTTTATTTGGTCCTAATTTGACTTCTGTTGTTGTTGTTTTCTTGACAAATTTGTACTTACATGTAATTGGAAAGCATATGAATGCTTTTTGTCAAAATAATTAAACAAATAATCATTTTTGAAACTTCAGTGGATTGTTTCTTTTTCTGAGATTGATCAAATGTGTTTTTTTCTTCAAAAATTGAATGGAGTCAGATTGTAGAACATGGACATTTCCTATTACACAAAATTGAAATGTATCTGTAAACACCTTGTACACAACAGTAAGATTAATTTACTGAACAGTCAGAAAATACATCAGAAGCAAAAATAGTTCTCTTGATTGATATTCTCATGGTACAAACAAGGTCTATGTCAATTTGCATGTGGTTACATAATACTATTGTAAACATCTTACATATAATTTTGGTTTTACTTTTCATTATTCTAGAAAAAAGAAAAATAACAAAAATACCGAACTCCAAGGAAAATTCAAAATGGAAAGTCCTTTATCAAATGGCAAAATCAAAAGCTCAAATTAGATTGTGTGATTCATTATTTCTAAAATGGACTTTTTCTTCATCCAATTTGGTATTCACAATTGAATTAATTATTTTTAAACATCTTACACATGTTACATCAGTGTTCTCCTCAAATATTTCATATAGCATCCTGGTAAACAGGGAAATTTGAAATACCATCTTGTTTCTAAAGATAATAGCATCACATCCATATTAAACACAATCTATAAGAAAATCAATGCAGATAGCATCACATTACCATGATGCTAAAAGGCCCTGGGGAGAACACTGGTTACATGGCTTTACTTTCAATCTTTACATAAGTGCAACTATCCACTCTAAACCAACTCTGCTGAAATGATTATGCTATACGATTTGCCAGTACACTTGCCATAATTGTACAATTCAAAAGGAACAGACCATTTACCTTGATGAATTGAAATTTTGCTTTTTCTAATGAAAAAGAGAGTCTATTGTAACAAGTAGGAGGCACCCATTTTTTGTTTGAATACAGAAACATGTTAATTTAAAACTTTGTTATGATACATTTTTGTGACAATTTTATTCTGATTTCTTATCTTTATATTTTAGATTGAATAAACTACAGAAATGTGTGGTATATGTTGTTTGTTGATAGAAAGAAATGAGAAAGATTACAGTGATCCTAAGGTTAAGTTATAAAAAATTATTGTTTCCAGACTTTTTTCATAATGCATTTTGGCTCATTTGGCCAGCTAAAGCCCATGATGAGTTTTTGTAATCATTTGGTGTCCATCATCCTTCTGTCATAAGTGTTTTTGAAGATCTTCTTCTCTCAAACTACTGAACCAATTCAAACTTCACATAATTGATCATTAGGGTGTCTCTCTTGATGATACGTTTGTGTATTATATCTAAATATGATTCATTAACAGCTAAAAATAGAACATAGTGGTAAAATGCAAGTACATGTAATTGTCTTATATCTCAAAAATTATAAGAAGAGAAAACCTGACAGGAGGGGGGTAAACATTCAGATACCAAGATCTACCTACTTTCCATTGGTAAAATCACCAGGAGACGCCTTATTGGAGTTGCCGCAAAAAAATTTTCGGTCGTATATTGGTATCACGTCGTCGACCGAAGACATTTGGTTTCTGGACAATAACTTTAGTATTTAAGAAATAATTCATGGGGGCTTGAATATATCGTGATTTTACCACGGGTTGGCCCTTTATGACAAATATTTTACCCTGAGCGATAGTGAGGGGTAAAATATCGGCATAAAGGGACAACCTGTGGTAAAATCAAGATATATTCAAGCCCCCATGAATTATTTCGATTCTAATAGGACAAATACGACAATTATTTTGGATCGTAGCGCTCTAGATGAAGGCATTATTTGCCGTTCCCATAAATAATTGCACTATTAGATTGATGTAAAAGAACGGAGCAAACTGAATAAATGGCATGTTTAAACTATTTACAATGACATATTTAGATAGGTTTGGATGAATCTAAATGATAATTGTATTTATATGTCTTATATGTAAAAAAAAAATGGCTTATATAACACATTTTAGCATCGTTTGTTTACGTTTCCTTGTTGTGATGATTTTCAGTTTCACAAGCGTGTATTTTCCCGTAAAATGCTTATATTCTTACGCCATCGTTCTATGACGTCGGGTAGCTCATATATAAAGCATATGAAGCGGGAGTACGATCGGAACAGCCCAAAAAATATATTCATATTTTACCACGGGTGTGTATTCAAAGCGTTTGAAGAACGTCATGTTAGAATAGTAAATAGAAATCTATGAAATTTAAACACAAGGTTTATAACCACAAAAGGAAGGTTGGGATTGATTTTGGGGGTTATGGCCTAACAGTGTAGGAATTAGGGGCCAAAAAGGGCCCCAAATAAGCATTTTTCTAGTTTCATGACAATAACTTGTGGAACAGTGTATGGATCTCTCTGAAATTATACCAGAAGTTTCCATACCACAAAGGGATGGTTAGGATTGGCTTTGGAAGGTTATGGCTCAAACCGTTTAGGAATTAGTGGCAAAAAAGTGAGAAAAAACAAGGGTGTCCTGGTTAATGGACAATTACTTAAGTACAAATTACAGTATAAGGGAGGTAATTCAAACACAACTTTGAATTACCTCCCTTACACTGCTTTTAAATTATGCATTAAGAAATGTTGTATTGTCTTGAGGTGATTAGCTGTCAATTCATTTTTAGAAGTTACTATTTTAATAATTTAAAAAATGCTGATTAAGGTAAATCAATTTTAGCTATGATTATGTATGTCATTTTCTATTTTAAGACTTTTATGATGTATTTAAATGGGTTATTATGGTTGCAAACTCCATTGGAAATTTGAATTGAGATTATGACCATGTCTTGAGGGAAAGAATTTTTTTTTGGAAAAAAGGGGGGGGGGGATAATTGGTGGTGGGGGGTGACAATTTTTTCTCCTCAAGATTTCAGAAATCAAAAAGAAAATTTCTTCAAATATTTTTTGAAAAAGAAGAGGGGGGGGGGGGGGGGGGGGTGTAAAAAAAAAATTTGGGGGGGGGGGGGGGTCAATTCACAACAGCATAGTGTATTGCACGAAAGCAAAAAATTGAATATAAATTCAAATCATATAACCAATTCTAAGTTCTTTGACTACAGTTATTGTGTGTCAGAAACCTATTATGTGTCAAATGTTGAATTACAATCCAAATTCAGACCTGTATCAAGCGCGAATATTGTGTCCATTTTTGCCCCAACTGTTCAGGGTTGGACCTCTGCGGTGGTATCCAGCTGCACTCGGCGAAGCAATTTATTGACTGTTAATTTAAAAACTGTAATACAGGATAGGTTGACAGCAGGGTTCGTCTGACCTTGACCTCATTTACATGGATCATTGATAATGTTGAAAAAAAGATGTCTTAAAGAATTTCAACATAAATTCAATCATGACCAGTAAAGCAGGCAAGACATTTAAGTGTGTCCACTGTTGTTATTAAATACCATTTAAACAGACTCAATTTAACATACAAGAAAGTATGTGTGTCATCATTGTCTGCATTTTACACAATTTATAAAATCTAATTTTTATACGACTGCAAAAAAATTTTTGTGGTCGTATATTGGTATGACGTTGGCGTCGTCGTCGTCTGGCGTCGTCCGGCGTCGTTTGAAGACACATTGGTTTTCGCACTCTAACTTTAGTTTAAGTGAATGGATCTCTATGAAATTTTACCACAAGGTTCAATACCACAAAAGGAAGGTTGGGATTGATTTTGGGGGTTATGGTACCAACAGTAAAGGAATAAGGGGCCAAAAAGGGGCCAAAAATAAGCATTTTTGTAACTTCCAGACATAACTTGTGTGTTAGTGTATGGATCTCTCTGACATTGTACCACAAGGTTCCATATCACAAAAGGAATGCTTGGATTGATTTTGGGGGTAATTGCCTCAAAATTTTAGGAATTAGGGGCCAAAAAAGGGGCAAAAAACAAGCATTTTTCTAGTTTCATGACAATAACTTGTGTGTAAGTGTATGGATCTTTCTGAAATTGTACTACAGGGTTCCATATCATAAAGGGAAAGCTGGAATTGAGTTTGGGGGTAATTGCCGAAACATTTAGGAATTGGGGGCCAAAAATAAGCATTTTTCTAGTTTCCAGACAATAACTTGTGTTCAAGTGTATGGATCTCTCTGAAATTGTACTGCAAGGTACCATACCACAAAGGGAAGGCTGGGATTGATGATGGGGGTAATTGCCTCAATATTTTAGGAATTAGGGGCCAAAAAGGGGCAAAAAACAAGCATTTTTCTAGTTTCAGGACAATAACTTGTGTGTAAGTGTATGGATCTTTCTGAAATTGTACTACAAGGTTCCATATCACAAAGGGAAAGCTGGGTTTGAGTTTGGGGGTAATTGCCCTAAACGTTTAGGAATTTGGGGCCAAAAAGGGGCCAAAAAACACATTTTTCTAGTTTCCAGACAATAACTTGTGTTCAAGTGTATGGATCTCTCTGAAATTGTACTGCAAGGTACCATACCACAAAGGGAAGGTGAGGATTAAGTTTGGGGGTGATGAATCATAAGGGGGTTCAAAAAAATTGGGGGGGGGATTTTTTTTTTCCTTTTTTTTTTCTTTTAAAATTTTCCATTTTAAGTTGGTTATTTCTGATTTATATTTAATAGCAAATAATAATGATATGGTAGGAGATACACACCAAACAGGATGTGTAAATTATTATATAATAAGTATTGTGCAATAGCAAGAAATTTTCAATTGCACAGTATTGCACAATAGCAAGAAATCTTCAAATGCACAGTATTGCGCAATAGCAAGAAATCTTCAATTGCACAGTATTGCGCAATAGCAAGAAATATCCAATAGCACAATATTGCGCAATAGCAAGAAATTGTCAATTGTACAGTATTGCGCAATAGCAAGAAATATTTAATTGCACAGTATTGTGCAAAAGAAGATACTTCGTATAAATTGCTTATTTCTTGACCAATTTCAATGGGGTTTTATTCTTGAATTCTTGGGGTTCTTTAATATGCTGAATCTAACCGTGTATTTAGATTTTGGGTTTTGGGCCCCGTTTTTAAATTGGTCTACATTGAGGTCCAAAGGGTCCAAAATTAAACTTTGTTTGATTTCATCAAAAATTGAATTATTGGGGTTCTTTGATATGCCGAATCTAACCGTGTATTTAGATTCTCAATTTTTGGTTCCGTTTTCAAATTGGTCTACATTAAGGTCCAAAGGGTCCAAAATAAAACTTAGTTTGATTTTAACAAAAATTGAATTCTTAGGGTTCTTTGATATGCTGAATCTAAACACGTATTTAGATTTTTGAATATGGGCCCAGTTTTCAAGTTGGTCCAAATCGGGATCCAAAATTAAACTTTGTTTGATTTCAACAAAAATTGAATATATGGGGTTCTTTGATATGCTGAATCTAACCATGTATTTAGATGTTTGATTTTTGGTCTCCGTTATCAACTTTGTCCACATTGAGGTCAAAAGGGTCCAAAATTAAACTTTGTTTGATTTCATCAAAAATTGAATTCTTGGGGTTCTTTGATATGCTGAATCTAACCATTTATTTAGATTTTGGATATTAGACCATAATAGGTGAATGTCCAATTTAAAATTTTTAAGTTCTTAGACCACATTCATTCTGTGTCAGAAACCTATGCTGTGTCAAATATTTAATCACAATCCAAATGCAAAGCTGTATCAAGCTTGAATGTTGTGTCCATACTTGCCCCAACTGTTCAGGGTTCGACCTCTGCGGTCGTATCAAGCTGCGCCCTGCGGAGCATTTTATTTTTTTTTATTAAATTGCAATGCTACTAAAAAAAGTCTATCATAGCTGTAGCATGATATATATATTAAAAATTTATTATTTAAAACAACTACTGGTATATAATGGGTATTTTTGCAACATAGGGAAGGTTAACAGAAGTTTTCAACAATAATTGTAGCATTGTATGAAGTATGGACAAATTCGTCACAGAGGACCAGATTCATCTAACACAAAGGAGGTTACAATATCAGACAAACATGTATTGACCTTGACAGGCCATGTCCTTCATCTTAGAGGTCAACTCACATCACAACCTCTTCAACATCAGAATGGTGACCTACTTTTGTGGAATGGGGAAATATTTGGTGGAATACAAGTGAGTATATGAATAGATACAGTTAAAAACCCAAAGCAAAACTTAATAAAAGAAAACAACATGATTCAGTTATAATTGCACTACAGAAGAGAAAAAGACAACTTAATGATGCACTGGAACTGAAAGCTATGTCAAGGTATTTTGTTGATAATGAAATAATGTTTTCTTACATTCTAAGAATTTTTGATTTTAAAGATGAAATATATTATTTTTGTAATTTTAGATTAGAGAAGAAGAGAATGATACTGAGATTTTACTGCAATTGCTAACAAAAGATGCATCACCAAAACATATACTGAAAACCATGGCAACTGTAGAAGGACCCTGGTCATTTATATATTGGCAGGTAATTTGAAGAAAGTAAAAAGTCAAAACTCATGAAGTTTCATGTAACTTACAGTTATGTAGTAACAGACGGGATGAAATTTTTCAATTGTGAATGAGCATGAAATTTTGAATTAATTTTTATACGCTCGTTTACGGGACGTATTATGGTATACCGTTGTCCGTCCGTCGTCGACATGTCGGACATTAACTCAAAAACGCTTCAACCAATTTGCATAAAACTTTGGTGAATTGTTCATATCTATTGATGTGAGCTCCCTTTCATTTTTTTATAAAATTTAGATTTTACATTTCTGAGTTATGGGGTTTTATTCATTGAAAAAGAGGGGGGATTTTCCAGTTTTCCGACAATAACCCAGAAATGCTTACCAATTTGCAAGAAACTTTGGTCAATTGTTTATATCTATTGACATGAGCTCCCTTTTGATTTTTATAAATTTTAGATTTTATGTTTCCAAGTTATGGAGTTTTATTCATTAAAAAAAAAGGGGATTTTCCAGTTTTCGGACAATAACTCAAAAATGCTTTCAGCAGTTCTTATGAAACTTTGGAGAATTGTTTATATCTATTGATGTAAGCTCCCTTTCAATTTTTGTAAATTTTAAATTTTACACTTCCGAGTTATGGGATTTTATTCATAAAAAAGGAGTGATTTTCTAGTTTTCGGACAATACCTTTTAAGTGCTTTGAGCAGTTTTCATTAAACTTTGGTTTATATCAATTAAGATAACCTCCCTTTAGCTTTTCACAAATTTCTGATATGACATTGAGAAGTTATTGAACTTTATTCGTAAAAAAACGGGCGTATCATGCGCTCATGGTGCAGCTGTTTATTATTTATGCTGCTATTGTTCCAGGTATGTTACCAAGCTCAAAATGATATACCTATATTTTAGAATGCAACACAGACTCTGTATTTTGGAAGAGATATGTTTGGAAGGAGGAGTTTATTATGGCACCTCCCACAGACTGTTGATGATGTGTTTTTGCTGTCATCTGTCAGGATAAGTGATTATGTAGGAGTTAACCTCAGTATTCAGTGTTTTCTTATAATTGATAAAGTTTTGTAGGATTGTAGATTTTAAAGCATGGTGGTACAATTGATTTTATGTAAAATCAAACAAAATTGTATAAAGGATGGTGGTCCCATCATACATAAATGATTTAGGGATTACAATGGACTATTAGTCATAAAACTTTAGGGCTGAGTGGTCTTAAGGGTTGTTAAACCTCTACCTTTCAAAGTACTATCAAAGTTAGGGTTCAAAACTTGTTCCAGTCTAAAGTTTCTTGAAATCACTCAGATAATAATACTATTGACAAAGAATGAAAATCTACATTTGAAAACTGAACTATGTATTATAAGTTTAATATCAGTTACATTTCAAAATATCCCATGGTGAGTAAAAGACTCATATCTGTTCTGTTTCAGGAATTTCAAGAAGTGCCATCAGTTGGATTATTTTCCATGCATGTATGCAGTGATGTTATTACCATGACAATGTATCCTAGGGATGAGGCAGTTTGGCCAGGGACAACTGTCCTGGTCAGATCATCTGAACCTCATCATTTCTGTATACCATTTACTCTAGCTCCAAATTTTGATTTCCAATTCGAAGAGGCACAAGTGGTACCTATGTCAATACCTAAATTAAATAAACAATTACAATGCATTATAAGATCACCCAGCAAAAATCTTAGCACTGATGCTAATGAATTAATAACTAAATCAGTACTAGATGAGGAAAGCATTTCTAGTTTTGTTTCTAAAAAGCATAATATATCAGAATCATCTGGCTGTGTCCATGAAGCAATAGCTATGCCAGAATCCAGTTCTGTCCCTGAAAGAGCTGCTATACCAAGTTCTTCTCATGTATCTACAGGGAATAAGAAAAAAGTTAATGTACAAATACTAGAGGATATTATAGATCCAAAATCATATCTAGAAAATGTCTTACAGACTGATGCATTGATGAACAAATTATCAGATCAACTAATGGATGTTTTGTTAAAAGCTGTTACTTTACGTGTATATAATCAAGTGGATTTACCTAGGACCAGAAATTCAGGTGTTCACTGCCAAAGAATGGAAACTTTGCAGTATGCTGATGGAAGTTCTGAAATGTGTCAAAAGACTTCTGTAACACAAAGCCATTCAAGTAATAATGAGTGTGAATGTTGTTTGGGAAAAGAGGGTAATTGTGATAGAGTTACATGTTTAATAGACAATGTTCATTTAGAAAATCCATGTAAGTCAGAATCTAACAGGAATGAAACACTTCCATGTAAAACTGCAGAGGATAATTTATTACCAGTAAATGCAAAAGATAAGAAACCTGACATAAAGGATAGCACTAAAGACAGTCTACCTCATGTTGCAAGTTCTTGTTCAATTTCAGAGATAGTTGGCAATGCTAGGGTAGCTGTGTTATTTTCTGGAGGGATAGATTCTACTGTAATCACTGCTCTGATTGATAGGTAAAAATACTTTATAATGGAAGAATTACTGCTTTTCATTCATGTCATTTAATTTCTGAACAAGGGAAAGAAAGTATACAATTGCAATCATACACATCTTTGCAGAACAAAAAAAAATCCCAGGAAATTTTCACCTCCCATTTTTTTATGCTGCACGAATGGAAATGTTGAATCTGACATGTCTGTGTGGGAGAGACACATCAGATAAGGCTAAAGGTTAATATTGCCTTGGACAGAAGTGTTAGGTTTAGAATTTGCATTAGTGATAAGTTTTACCTTCAATTGAACTTTATTTCTGTATAATTAATAAAAGAAGTGTTGTGGATCATTGGATTTTATTGATAAAATGTCAAACGATCTTTTCCTTGATTAAAATGATAATAGGAAGATTGAGTACTAAAATAAAAATAAGGAGATGTGTTATGATTGCCAATGAGACAACTATCCAACAAAGTTCAAATGAAGTGGATGTAAGCAAATATAAGCAAACGTACAGCCTTCAACAATGAAAGCATACCGTATAGTCGGCTTTAATAGGCCCTGACATGAAGAATATGAAACAATTCAATTGAGAAAACTAATGGCCTAATTTATAACAAAACAATTTAGAAAAACAAATATGACAGACAAGAACCACTGAACTACAGGTTCCTGACTTGGGACAGGAACATAAAGAATGTGGCAGGGTTAAACATGTTTATGAGCACTCAACCCTCCCCTAACCTGGGACAGTGGTGTTACAGCACAACATAAGAACATACTATAAAAATCAGTTGAAAAGTGCTTAACTTAACTAGTAAAACCTCAACACATGTATATGTGCTTGCCCAAGTCAGGAATATTGCCAGTGGTTGTCTTTTATAATTTGATGTTGGCATCAGATGTTATGTCTGTTGAATTTATTCCAGACTTGTCCAGCGAATGTGCCATATTTTATGAATCATGTCCATCTTTCAGGTGTTTTGCATATGATGTCACCTTGATTTAGTAAATGTTTCCTTTTTGACATTTTTCAGATGTTTGCCTGAAGATGAACCAGTGGATTTAATGAATGTTGCCTTTGAACAAAAGGCAAAGTCTCCACAGAAGAAGAAAGGTGAAAGGTAAACAATATTAATTGTTAGATATTCAGATATGTTAGTATTTAACATTCCAAATACTGATATAAGAAGATATGGGTTATAAATCAGTGAGACAGTGACTTGATGACACAAAAAGATGTAGAGGTTAACCTATAGTAAGCATCATAAGGCAAATGTGTTTACAATATGTCTACAAGGAGTATAGTATAGTTTTGAATAAATTTATAGTCAAGACAATTGCTATGAAGTCCCTAACTTTGGACAATCATGTGAATATATGGTTGGTATTAAATATTGTTTAAACAATCAAACCCCACCCCCCACCAATTTTGATCTTGGTCAGTGCAATAACAAGTTACATAGAAATATGTACCTTTAATTCAGTACAGAAATGATACTTCATTCTATAATACCAGTATAACACACAACATAAAAACATGTACAAGGAAAAAATAAGAGGTTTTTCTATGCCAAAGAATGCAAGCAGTAGAATAAAGCCGGCTCAAAGTGTTTAACCTGCTGATATTGAAATCATGATGTCCTATACTCTAAATATACCCTAACAACATTCATACAAATATTTTCAAATTCTTGTTATTACTTCTACACTAAACACAAAAAAAAAACCAAACTAGTATTTCAAAAATAAGCACACAGACCTATATTTGTTATACCATTATTCTGATATACATGTAATACACATTCTATTTTAAAAAGACATCAATTGTGAAAAATTGTTATTTTGAATATCTGAAGCAAACATTCTTAAGTCAAAATAAGTGGCCATTTTGATCTTGCTGTGAGGAATAAGCTGTTTCATTAACATTGAAGACCTATCAGTAACTATCAAGAAAAGCAGTATAAGTGCTGTTCATTTGGTATATTGATTTTGTGAGACACTTATTTAATATGTATCTTCCACATATCATTTCTTTTCCAATTATAATTCTAATTGCTAGAATTACATTACAGGCCCAAGACAGAAACTATAACAACCAACTGGAATGTACCAGACAGGGTAACAGGTTATACAGCTTTACAGGAACTAAATCCAAACAGAAAATGGAATTTTATTGAGGTATGAGTATATGGAGTCAAACTGAAAAAGATGGAAAATATAACAAGCAATGTTTTACTTTCATTATTGCAGGAGTCAGTATGCTGAAAGCAGACATTATGTATATATTTGAAAATATAGTTCTATATTAAAACCTCTAATTTTGATCTCAAAGGTTTGATTAAAAAGTAAAGTATGATTTAGTATGCCCAGTCAAGGATAGTAGAAAGAGCATTATATTTTCTGGTCTGTGTGTCTAACTGTTAGTCCAATCCATTTGTCCATTCATCTGTCCCCAATCAGGTCACAGATTTTATTTAAGGTAGTTAACTAGGAGTTTGTAAAGTTGTTACTTATTACATGATCATAATGATGGAATTTTTTTTTAAAACATATGACAAATTAGGGTTATGAACATAATATAGGGATTAACTGAAAATGTGATAGTGCGAGTGGGGCATGGTTACATATTCCTGTTTTACTTTTTTATCTTTTATTTGCAGTGACTTATTTTGTTGATACATTATTTACTTATTAGAGCCCCCCCGAATGGCATTTGCCTTATAGCGATCAGTCTGTCCGTCCGTAACAAATTGTGTCTGCTCTATATTTAGAGAACCGTTATAATTTCATACTTTATACTTGACATGTATATTAACCAACACCAGAGGGTGTTTCATAATGTTTGTACAACTTCCTAGGTCGAAGGTCAAGGTCAAAAACTTTGGTTTAAGTTGACAACCCCATGTCCTATGGTAAAAATCATGTCCGCTCTATATCTTGAGAACGGTTATGATTTCAAAGTTTATACTTGAAATGTATATTAACCAACACCTGAGGGTGTGTCATAATGTATGTACAACTTCCTAGGTCATAAACTTTGGTTTCAGTTGACAACCCCATGTCCTATGATAAAATTCGTGTCCACTCTATATCTTAAGAGCGGTTATGATTTCAAAGTTTATACTTGACATGTATATTAACTAGGGATGTCAACGAGTACTCGAGTATCGCTCGGTAGTACCGAGTATCGATTACCAAAATGATACTCGACACATCGGTTTCCTGTTAGAATGTTCTTGCTTTCTTTAATTTAACCAAAAAATTTTTTTATTGAGAGCGCCTCCCGGGAAATTATATATTAATCAAAATTGATCAAAATTAAAATACGATTCAAATGTTTGCGTTTAACTGTCATTTAAAATTTAAAGGTATATGTAGGATATATAATGACAAGAGCATTTTCCAAAGGCTTACACTTTTAGGTAATCTTAGTCACTTCCCCACCTCTCTACCGTTATAGCATATATTTTCATCAGCAGGACTGTTAGTTACCTAACAAATTTGAGAAATCGCTACATCCCAGAAAAAGTTGACAAGATAACATTTTTAAATAAGAACAAATTCGTTGCACCCTGTATCGACCTTCAGAAAATGATAAATGGCATCAGTAAGTTCTAATCATCACCCCTTTGTTGATCATTAAATGTGTTTTTTAAGGTTCCCAAATACTGTTGTTTGAGTAATAATTTTTCTATATATATATATAAATTAATTACTTGATTAGATTATTACCAGTTTACATAATTAGTATATGTAGAAAATGAGCTATTAATTATGATATAAATTTCCTTGGACTATTATCTAGTCCTAGGTAATAATCAATATAATGTTGAGGGTTTTACAATCATAATACAACGACCCACAATACATAAAATGTGTATAATATTGTGTTTCCATTTTGTAAAAGTTTTACAGAGCGAGTACTCGAGTATCGCTCGGTAAATCCAACGAGTAATCGATTAGTAAATATTCACAGAGTTGACATCCCTAATATTAACCAACACCAGAGAGTGTGTCATAATGTATGTACAACTTCCTAGGTCAAAGGTCAAGGTCAAAAACTTTGGTTTCAGTTGACAACCCCATGTCCTATGGTAAAGATACAAATTTTTTACCACACGTTATTCACAGGGAGGCCCACAGAGATGGCTCCCATCTCAATGATGTCTAGTTTACTTTAAATCAAAGTTTAGCTTACCAGATTATAGCATATCAATAAACTGTCATTAGGAATGCTCATAACCAGAAATTAGAAAAAAACATTGGGAGCATTATGTCATAGTCCTTGAAGAAAATATGTAATTTCTGTCTACAGTCAACTTTTCCAGAATAACTCATAAATAATTGAACTTTTTTTTTCCCAGGTGAATGTATCCATAAAAGAGCTTCAAGAACTAAGGTTAGATACTAAATTTTAACTGAGTCATGACTTAGAAGGATATTGAATTTACAATCAAAAGTCCACTCAGAGAAATATAAGATAACTCAAAATGATCAGAGATGGGCAGATGGGAAGACAATATTTAACCGTAATCCAAACAAGAAATATTGAGAGACATTCTGTGCTTTGGAAAGGTAGACATATCATCAAAGGTATTTGATGAAACTATAAAAAACCAAAATTATGTTACTTGTATGAAGACCTTGATCTCAAAGACTTTCATCATACTAAGTAAATTATTATCATAGAGCATTAGCTTAAAGGCATCTCAGCACACAAACTCTACATATTGTATATCATTGACACTTTTCAAAAGTAATTATTAAACTTTTTCTTTTTTGTATTTCACTTTTTCAGGTCTAACCATATACAACATTTATTATATCCATTAGAGACAGTATTAGATGATAGCATAGGTTGTGCTGTGTGGTTTGCTTCCAGAGGTTGTGGAATTCTGGGTAATACTAAACAGGCTGGGAAGGCTTACAGAAGTACTGCTAAGGTAAGGAGATTCTAAGGTAAATAACAGAAGCACTGCTAAGGTAAATGGAAATCCAGGTACTACAGTTAAAAAATAGGGCACTCCCGACATAGCCATTAGTACTTTTAAATTTTGATTTATTAAATTTTTTTTTGGATCAATTATATTAAGTTTTGCTGTAAAACTTGTCTTGGATCAATTGCATTTTGTTATGATGTAAATCTTTGGTTTGATTAATTACATTTTGTAAAACTGATCTTCCATCAATTATATTTTGTATTGTGTAAAACTGATCTTCCATCAATTATATTTTGTATTGTGTAAAACTGATCTTCCATCAAATATATTTTGTATTGTTGTAAAATTGGTCTTCGATCAATTACTTTTTGTAATGTTTTAAAACTGGTCTTGAATCAATTATTATTTGTTATGTTGTAAAACTGGTCTTGAATAAATTACATTTTCTTTGTGTTGTAAAACTTGTTTAAGATGAATTACATTTGTTTATGTTGTAAAACTTGTTTAAGATGAATTGTTTATGTTGTAGGTAATATTATGTGGTATGGGTGCTGATGAACAACTTGCTGGCTATTCAAGACATAGAGGAAAATTCATGTAAGTCTTCACTGAGTAGTTAAATATTTATTACTTTGTCTTTTGAAATTTTATGCTGCTGTTTTGGTGGAATGGATTATTAAGATTTAACCTGTATTTTGTGGTTTTGATAAATTCTACAAACAAGTCTTAAGAAATTTGTACTTTGTTGAAAACTCCCATTTCTAGTACACCTTTACCCAAAATCCATGAAAAGATTATCCCAGAAATAATAATGAATCCACAGTAGTAGGTATCGACCGTCTATCACACTGAGTGAGTTTTAAATTTTCAAATTATTTGAACATTTCGGACTAGGTGTGGTAGGAAGAATGATTTGTTAAAGTCAATTGATATTTCAATTTCTATTGTATAGAATCTGAATATAGTGATGATGTCCTCATATATATGGGTGGCTAACTGATCAAGAATTCTTGTTAAATTTTAGGGAACATGGATGGGAAGGATTACTTGAAGAAATAGAAATGGAGGTGAACAGAATATCAGCCAGAAATCTGGGAAGAGATGATAGGTAAATTTATTTTATATAGGTAGAAATGTGAGTATATACAGCGTTCTTTTCCCTTTCTGTTTCACTGAACACAATTGTCAAACCATTATAACAGGTATTATAAATTCACAATATGTTTTACCCTCTAAATGAAATGTATATACCTATCAATAAGCATTATTTGCATGACCACACAATATTATGCTGTCAGCTGTCAGTAACAATAAATTTCAGGTATTCCTTGAATGTTTACTTTCAGCCTGCAAATTTATCAGATCAAAGAGAAAACTATCTTTCACTTTTTTAGATTAATTTCTAATTTATGCTTATTTCAGAATTATAACTGACCACGGTAAAGAATCAAGGTTTCCATTCATTGATGAGAATGTTGTCAACTATTTGCAAAAGCTACCTATACAATATAAGGTATGACTTAAATTTCTGCAACTCCGTGAACAATATAAGGTACTTCATAATTCTCTGAAATTAAAACATTATACAGTAAATGGTATTACATAGTTCCATACACCTTCATATCTATATGATTTGTTTCTGCAGTTTCCTATACAGTAAATGGTATTACATAGTTCCATACACCTTCATATCTATATGATACGTTTCTACAATTTCCTATACAGTATTAGGTAAGACATTACAATAACAGATCTAAAATTATATTCTTTGAGAACTTCTTCCAAACTTCTCACAGTTAGAAAATGCACTTCTTTGGAGAAAACAGTGCATTTATCAAAACTCTTTAGGTCATATTTGAAAGATAGGAAATAATTTTTTATATGACAATGTTCAGTAACAATTTTTTTCTGATTGTGATACCACATTTAGTCACCCATATTGAAATATTAACCCCATTAAAATAAAAGTATATACTATATGATGCAAAATGAAGTTTTCTGGTCCAGGTCTAAGTAGTTCATCTACAGCATCACTAGCCTGTTAATACTGTAGTTGTGAGTTCAAACCGTGTACATAACAGGTGCGTCTCTGATCTTAATTGACTAGTTAATTAAGAATTGTAATTAACAAGACATGATGTATTATCACTTTGCAGAAAATAGAAAAAAAACATGAAATAATTTCACCATCTGCTCGGTAATAGGATATACAGACAACTGATTGTATAGTTGTAAATTAATTCATAATTTTATATCAAAATATTAATGTATACTAACACATCTGTAAGCAATGTATGGACATTGTTTGATTATATAAACAACTAATCAGGGCTTTCAAAACGGTCATATTGTTCTGACTTGTCCGGTAAATTATATAAATGACTTCTTGTGACAAGGCTGAAACGGACATTTTAACATAGAAAAAAAATTGAAGTTTATGGGATCTTTTTGACATGACCTTTTGCCTTAAACAGCCACACATTTCCGGTCATATAAGTGACATGACAAATAATTACTATCAAAACAAGCCCTACTTTAATACCCTCTCATTACAATCAAGGTTAATTAGTTCCCTGACAACTGAAATTAACCTTTTTTGTACCGGACATTGATCAGTCTATTAAGTTTATTTTCTTAAATTTCAGCGGTTAAATTGGCTGGTTTGTCCTTTTTATAAACTTCTATACATATATAATTGAGGATATGAAATTTTTTTTTTAAATCGATTATATCATGATGTTCTATAGAATTACACATGTAAACAATCTAGTTATAAATGATCAGAGGTAATTGATTGAAATGAAATTGACAAACCAAGCACACCTACAACATGAAAACATATTATTGAACTAACTTGTAAAACTGGTTTCACAATATTTATTTACTGTTTGGTTATTGACAGCGTAATTTTGCACAAATAAAGAGTCTATGGCAGATATTAGTACGCTGATGTTGCACACTTCGAATTTCGAAATGTGCACTGTTAATTTAACAGTTAACGCCAGAACAACGAATTTATTTAAAAAATCAAGTCAAATATCGTTTTTGTGTCAATCACAAATTTAGATGATGCCCAACTGATTACTATGGTTGCTTTTTGTTACAAAGTCTGAAGGGATTAAAATCGGGATAAGACAAAAAAAATGTCTGGCTGGCTCAAATATTTTTTGGAAGCCCTGTAACTAATGTCTCGTATTGGTTTTTTTCTAGGCAGATTTGTCTTTACCCAGAGGTGTTGGAGAAAAACTTCTGCTACGTTTATGTGCCATGAAACTAGGACTAGTCAAAACTGCTACATTCCCTAAGAGAGCAATACAGTTTGGATCTAGGATAGCAAAAACTGAGAACAACAAAGAGAAAGGATCGGACAAATGTCAAAGATTAAATATGAAATAAAAATTATCTTCTACTTGTGCATTTATTAAAGGTTGTTGATGACAATCATTTACAATAAAAAAAAATTTCAGAATCATTATTTAAAATAACAAAATAATTACATTCGTTGATCAACATCCAAATTGATGGTGATGATGAATGACTGTTTAATGTCCAGTGGCAAATAAAAGATATAGTCAGGACAAGAACACGATAATGCCATTTAAATATGTAGGACTCTAAAGTGCGATGGGGGCGCTAAAACGCGATGGTCACGCTAAAGTGCGATGGTATACGCTAAGGTGCGATGGTTTGGTACGCTAAAATGTGATGGTGTGTGCTGTTCAGTAGAACACGCTAAATTCTGATGCCTCAATATGCTAAAGCGCGTTTTTCCACGAAAGTGAGTTTGTTCATGAAAGTCAGAAAGTTAGCAACGTTAAGCAACGTTAAACAGCATTCTGACATTACAAGCAGTTTGTACAAACAAAAATGGACATGCCGGAAAAACAGAATATTTGTCCATGGTTTTTATTAGACAAGGAAAAAAGGAAAAAAAAATGATCCCTAGCACCCGGAACAGTTTTGGTCGGTGCTGGAAGTGGTTAACTTGATTTGGCTAGTTTGTGTTTACAAAAGGGCCTTGAAATGACCAGTGTAAAATAATTCAAACAAGAAAAATTACATCCTGATTTATATACAAAACAATAAACGAAAGAAAATATACAGCAACAAACGACTACCACTGAATTACAGGTTCCTGGCTTGAAACAGGTTCATAAAGTACATACTGGCTTCTGCAATGTAACCATTTCACTTTTTTAATAACTATTGTACATTAAATAAAAATAAGAAGATGTGGTATAATTTTCAATGAGACAACTATTCACCCAACATCAAATGATGTTTGCAACTAATAACCGTACGGCCTTCAACGTGGAGTTTTGGCCGATGCCACATAGGAAGTTATATAAGGCCACACAATGACCAGTGTAAAACAATTCAAAAGAGAAAGACAACGGCTTAATTTATAAATAAAACAATAAACGAAAAACTAACAGAAACACAGCAAAAAACAGAAACCTTTGACTGAACAACATTTCCGTTACACCATCGCACTTTAGCGCGTTACATCATCGCACTTTAGCGTGTTACACCATCGCACTTTAACGCGTTACACCATCGCACTTTAGCGTGTTACACCATCGCACTTTAGCGCGTTACACCATCGCACTTTAGCGTGTCATATAATTGCACTTAAAAAACAAACAACCATCGCACTTTAGCGTTTACCACCGTGGCACTTTTGCGTAGACCATCGCACTTTAGCATGACTGTCGCACATTAGAGTACCATCGCACTTTAGAGTCCTACAAATGTAAACCCTCCTTTTTAGTAGAATGACATGCTTAGCTAGATTTTTAATGTGCCAGTTCACAAGGTAATACTCTGCAGGAAGACATGTCACCCTACCCAGACACATTATTCTGACCCTGAGATGACCAGTCTTTGCTCTTACTACTTAATGTTCTGTTTTTAGTGGAAAAGCAGTAAATACAAATTTTTAAGTCTTTGGTTTGACCAGGCTAGGGATCGCCACCGCCAGCATGTGCCACGACATCCAAATTGAAGATGTCAATGTGATGTTCGTAATATTGAGTTATTGTTACTATGGATTCATTATTATTCAAAATTGGGGTATAGTTGAACCAAAAATTTTAATGTTCGACGATGTACAAATTTTTTATATGCTTGTATGCAGGCTTTGGCAAGACCATGAAATCAAATATCCACAAAAACATAATTTTTCCTCAATCCATGAAAATTGATACCCACGAAAAATGAATGAATCCACAGTACGCTGTTTACATGTAAATGTAATGTTGAGTCATGTTGTTTAGATATGTAATGTTGAGTCAGTTTGTTTACATGTATATGTAATGTTGTACCAAGTTGTTTTACATCCATATATAATGTTAATTCATGCTAACAGTTTACATGTATATGCTGTGTCAAGCTGTTTACATGTATATGCTGTGTCGAGCTGTTTACATGCATAGGTTATGTTATTTCTGTTTACATGTATATGTAATGATGTGTCACATTGTTAATATGTCAATGTAATTTTATGTTATGTCATGATTTTAATATGTACGTTGTTGAATCATGCCGTTATCATGTTTATGCAATGTTGAGTTATGCTATTTAGGGAGCTACCATTTGATTTTTTGGTGCTAGGATGAAAAATGCATTTTTTTTTAGTTGTAATCTCTGTCCTGCCTTTTTATTTTTCACTCTATTCAGTCCTGCCTTTTTTTTTATTAGTTTATCCTGACTTTTTTTTACATAAATTGTCATCCTGCCTTTTTTTTTTGGCCAAGTTGATCATGCTGCCTTTTTTTTTTACTAAAACTCCTGTCCTGCCTTTTTTTCAAATTTCATCCTAGCTCCCATTAAAAATCAAATGGTAGCTCCCTTACATGTACATATAATGTATATGTCATGTTGTTAACAGGTATATGTACTGTTGTGTTATGCTGTTTACAGTTATAAGAAATGTTGTATTATGCTGTTTACAGTTAAAAGTAAAGTTGTGTTAAGGTGTTTAGATGTATATGTAATATTCCTCACTATTATCTTTGGAAATGTCCAAAACCATGTTTTATATCTGATCATCTTTTTATTATAACTTTGCTCCAACAAGTGGGGTAATACTAGTTTAACTCCATCTGTCATTCCGTCAATCTGTGTGTCCATTTGTAACACTTTTTTTAAACATTTTTGTTTAGCACATACAAATCAGCTTCTTGATATTTTGCATCAAGCTTCATATTGGTAAGATACCATGGGACACATTTTCAGATCCATCATTTATCTTCCTCTGATTGCCACATGCAACATGTATGTTCATTACATTGATGCATATATAAGAAAGTTTTGATGCATTTTTCTCAGGAAGCACACATGATAGCTTCTTTTTATTTTATACCAAGTTTAATAATAGTAAGCAAAAAGATTTCCTTATCTTCTTTTAGTTTTCTGCTTCCACATTGTTTGGTAAAACATGCATATGTATTTCCTTTCAGTTAAAATCAAGAGTGGGGGTATATTTAAGTGACCAGTAACTCACACTACATCTTGTCGTCACTTTCTAACACTGATACAATAAAGTAAGATATTTTGGATCAACTGGAGTATACATATACAGAACAAATTGTTCCCAGTACATATAGCGCACTATTAATGAGTAAATTAGCAATTATTAAATTATACTGTAGCACTGTAGGCTGTGTCAATGGGTGGTCTAGCGCCATATGCTATGTCTTTGGTTAGAGTGAGGTTAGGGTTATTATTTCAAACTTGTATCCTGTGTCAATCTGCCGTCTAGTGTCTACTGAATATGAAAAGGATACTATTGGGTACATATCTGTCAGTAGCAAATCATCAACACAAAAGAAGATTAAAAGACATCTAGAAGTCAACATATAGTCTTATGATCAGTCTGTTTAATAAAACTTACTGTAAACTTGATGAAATTTGTACTTTCAATTACCAAGAATATCCTTATACACTGCAGAAATTTACCTCATGGAACTGACTTTAAACAAATCTATGAACAGCTAGAACTGTTCTTTTCTTGATTTTATATTTCAGTTTCACATGGGAATCTCTATTAAAATTTAAGACAAAAGAGAGTATTTTTTTGTTCCTGTTTTCTTATTGCTACAGTGATGTTCCTTTGGGCCCTTTTAAGATGTGTATATTGCCCAACTAGTTCCCTATGTTTGTGTTCATAACAGCTAGAAATATTTAAGATTTTAATAAATATTCTATGTACATTATTAAGTTTGAATTACTTGAAACCTCTACTAAAATTTCTTTCATAGATGCAAAGATTTGATTTGAAAGCTTTGCTGTACATGTAGAAATCTTATAAATGCAATTTCACATCAACATTTTTACAGTTATGTTTATAGCTTTAAATAGCTTGGAACTTACAATATTGTCCCTTGAATAAACTTATTCTTAAAGGTGATTAATTAAACATTGTAGTAAAATCTTTGAATATTGTCTTTATTTGGTACTAACATTGATTTTATTTTTGATAGTTTAATACATATGTACAGCTATTTTATTATTTACACAATATTGTTTTTCATCCTGTCGATACTTATATTTTGGTATTGACAAGGTAAAACTTTTCCCACTTGTACTCTTAGATCACTACTTTGTGTCTTTGTTGAGTCAGTTTGTTTACATGTATATGTAATGTTGTACCAAGTTGTTTTACATCCATATATAATGTTAATTCATGCTAACAGTTTACATGTATATGCTGTGTCAAGCTGTTTACATGTATATGCTGTGTCGAGCTGTTTACATGCATAGGTTATGTTATTTCTGTTTACATGTATATGTAATGATGTGTCACATTGTTAATATGTCAATGTAATTTTATGTTATGTCATGATTTTAATATGTACGTTGTTGAATCATGCCGTTATCATGTTTATGCAATGTTGAGTTATGCTATTTAGGGAGCTACCATTTGATTTTTTGGTGCTAGGATGAAAAATGCATTTTTTTTTAGTTGTAATCTCTGTCCTGCCTTTTTATTTTTCACTCTATTCAGTCCTGCCTTTTTTTTTATTAGTTTATCCTGACTTTTTTTTACATAAATTGTCATCCTGCCTTTTTTTTTTGGCCAAGTTGATCATGCTGCCTTTTTTTTTTACTAAAACTCCTGTCCTGCCTTTTTTTCAAATTTCATCCTAGCTCCCATTAAAAATCAAATGGTAGCTCCCTTACATGTACATATAATGTATATGTCATGTTGTTAACAGGTATATGTACTGTTGTGTTATGCTGTTTACAGTTATAAGAAATGTTGTATTATGCTGTTTACAGTTAAAAGTAAAGTTGTGTTAAGGTGTTTAGATGTATATGTAATATTCCTCACTATTATCTTTGGAAATGTCCAAAACCATGTTTTATATCTGATCATCTTTTTATTATAACTTTGCTCCAACAAGTGGGGTAATACTAGTTTAACTCCATCTGTCATTCCGTCAATCTGTGTGTCCATTTGTAACACTTTTTTTAAACATTTTTGTTTAGCACATACAAATCAGCTTCTTGATATTTTGCATCAAGCTTCATATTGGTAAGATACCATGGGACACATTTTCAGATCCATCATTTATCTTCCTCTGATTGCCACATGCAACATGTATGTTCATTACATTGATGCATATATAAGAAAGTTTTGATGCATTTTTCTCAGGAAGCACACATGATAGCTTCTTTTTATTTTATACCAAGTTTAATAATAGTAAGCAAAAAGATTTCCTTATCTTCTTTTAGTTTTCTGCTTCCACATTGTTTGGTAAAACATGCATATGTATTTCCTTTCAGTTAAAATCAAGAGTGGGGGTATATTTAAGTGACCAGTAACTCACACTACATCTTGTCGTCACTTTCTAACACTGATACAATAAAGTAAGATATTTTGGATCAACTGGAGTATACATATACAGAACAAATTGTTCCCAGTACATATAGCGCACTATTAATGAGTAAATTAGCAATTATTAAATTATACTGTAGCACTGTAGGCTGTGTCAATGGGTGGTCTAGCGCCATATGCTATGTCTTTGGTTAGAGTGAGGTTAGGGTTATTATTTCAAACTTGTATCCTGTGTCAATCTGCCGTCTAGTGTCTACTGAATATGAAAAGGATACTATTGGGTACATATCTGTCAGTAGCAAATCATCAACACAAAAGAAGATTAAAAGACATCTAGAAGTCAACATATAGTCTTATGATCAGTCTGTTTAATAAAACTTACTGTAAACTTGATGAAATTTGTACTTTCAATTACCAAGAATATCCTTATACACTGCAGAAATTTACCTCATGGAACTGACTTTAAACAAATCTATGAACAGCTAGAACTGTTCTTTTCTTGATTTTATATTTCAGTTTCACATGGGAATCTCTATTAAAATTTAAGACAAAAGAGAGTATTTTTTTGTTCCTGTTTTCTTATTGCTACAGTGATGTTCCTTTGGGCCCTTTTAAGATGTGTATATTGCCCAACTAGTTCCCTATGTTTGTGTTCATAACAGCTAGAAATATTTAAGATTTTAATAAATATTCTATGTACATTATTAAGTTTGAATTACTTGAAACCTCTACTAAAATTTCTTTCATAGATGCAAAGATTTGATTTGAAAGCTTTGCTGTACATGTAGAAATCTTATAAATGCAATTTCACATCAACATTTTTACAGTTATGTTTATAGCTTTAAATAGCTTGGAACTTACAATATTGTCCCTTGAATAAACTTATTCTTAAAGGTGATTAATTAAACATTGTAGTAAAATCTTTGAATATTGTCTTTATTTGGTACTAACATTGATTTTATTTTTGATAGTTTAATACATATGTACAGCTATTTTATTATTTACACAATATTGTTTTTCATCCTGTCGATACTTATATTTTGGTATTGACAAGGTAAAACTTTTCCCACTTGTACTCTTAGATCACTACTTTGTGTCTTTGTCTTTTTGTTAAGTATTTTTATACAACTGCAAAAAATATGCAGCCATATAATGATATGGCGATGTCCAAAGACACTTGGTTTCTAGACAATAACTTGAGTATAAGTGCATGGATCTTTATGAAATTGTACCACACAGTTCCATACCACAAAAGGAAAGTTGGGATTGATTTTGGGGGTTATGGACCTAACTGTTTGAATTTTAGGCCAAAATCAAACATTTTTCTGGTTTCTGGACAATACTTGAGTATAAGTGTATGGATTTGTATGAAATTGTACAAGGTTCCATACCACTAAAGGAAGGTTGGATAGAATTTTTTTTCAGGGGTTATGGCTGTATCCACTTAGGAATTAGAGGCCAAAAAGGAGTAAAAAACAAGCAATTTTTTTAAACTTTGTTTCAATTGCTTAATTCTGACCAATCTCAATGGAGTTTTAAATCTTGAAATATTGGGGTTCTTTGATATAATTAATCTTACCGTGTATTTAGAATTTGATTTTAAACCGTATTTTCAAATGGGTCCAAATTAAGGTGCAAAATTAACCTTTGATTGATTTCAATATGCTGAACCCAATAAGATGTATTTAGATTTGGATTTGAGGCCCATTTTAAAATTAAACTTTGATTGATTTCAACAAAAATTGAAAGGTAGGGAGGGGTTTAAGCTATGCTGAATCAATTTCATTTGTTTGTTATTTTTATCTTGCCTTTACGGAGTCAAAAAGAGAGACATAGGTATGCTGTTTCTGGAGTCGGCATCTTCAACAATGTATTAGTTTGCGATTAGGTCTAGTTTATGGTGAACCACAAGTGGTAGGTCAGTCATATTTGGTATGCAGTTATATTAGCATTGGCACATTTAATTTCCATGGAGATTATTTGGCCCTGCCCCCTCAGTCATGGTCTATGGACTTTGAAACTTTTGCTTATTTTACATGTATTAGTTTGTGATTAGGTCAGGTTATGGGGAACCACTAGTGGTAGGTCAATGATATTTGGTATGCAGTTGTATAAGCATTGACATATCTCATTTCCATGGAGATTATTTGGGTCCACCCCCTTAGTCATGGTCTATTGACTTTGAAAATTTTGCTTAGTTAACATGTATTAGTTTGTGATTAGGTCAGTTCAAGGGGAACCATTTAGGGTAGGCAAATGTTAATTGGTATTCAGTTGTATAAGTATTTGCACATCTCATTACCATGGAGAATATTCGGCCCCGCCCCCTCAGTCATGGTCTATCCACTTAGATACTTTCGCTTAGTTAACATGTATTAGTTTGTGATTAGATCAGTTTGAGATAAACTGCTAATGTTAAGTCAACTATATTTGGTATGCAAATTTATTGGCATTTGCAAGTATCTTTTCCATGGGGATTATATAGCCCACCCCCTCTTCATGGTTCATTGACTCTGAAACTTACAGAGTTTACAAGTTTGTGTTTAGGTTTTTTTAAAGGGAACAACTTAAAATAAGTCAATGGTATTTGGTATGCAGTTGTATTAGCTTTGGCACATCTCATTTACATGGAGATTGTTTAGCCATGTACCTCAGTCATGGTTCATTGACTTTGAATATTTGCATAACTTATGAAACATGTTAAAGTATTGCGATTTTTATTTCAACATTTGCATAATCAAAATTACAAAAGGGTGAGACATAACTCTGTGATAACAGTTTATTTTTAGCTCACCTGGCGTGAAGGGCCAAGTGAGCTTTTCTCATCACTTGGCGTCTGTTGTCCGTCGTCATCGTCGTCGTTGTCCGTCGTCGTTAGCTTTTACAAAAATCTTCTCCTCTGAAACCTCTGAGCCAAATTTAACCAAACTTGGCCACAATCATCATTAGGGTATCTAGTTTAAAACAACCAACCAAGATGGCAGCCATGGCTAAAAATAGAACATAGGGGTAAAATGTAGATTTTGGCTTATATCTCTGAAACCAAAGCATTTAGAGTAAATCTGACAGAGTAAAACTGATTATCAGGTCAAGATCTATCTGCCCTAAAATTTTCAGACAAATCTGACAACCTGTTGTTGGGTTGCTGCCCCTGAATTGGTAATTTTAAGGAAATTTTGCAGTTTTTGGTTATTATCTTGAATATTATTATAGATAGAGATAAACTGTTAACAGCAATAATGTTCAGCAAAGTAAGACCTACAAATAAGTCAATATGCACAAAATTGTCAGTCGACCCCTTTAGGAGTTATTGCCCTTTATAGTCAATTTTTAACAATTTTTCGTAAATTTTTGTAATCTTTTACAAAAATCTTCTTCTCTGAAATTACCCAGACAAATTTAACCATACTTGGCCTTAATCATTATAAGGGTATCTAGTTTAAAAAATTTGTCCGATGACCCCACCTTCCAACCATCATGGCCGACATGGTTAAAAATAGAACATAGGGGTAAAATGCAGTTTTTGGTTTATATCTCTGAAACTAAAGCATTTAGAGAAAATCTGACAGGAAACAAATATGTTCATCAGATTTAGATTTATCTGCCCTGAAATTTTCAGACGAATCCGACAACCCGTTGTTGGGTTGCTGCCCCTGAGTTAGTAATTTTACAGAAATTTTGCAGTTTTTTGTTATCTTAGATATCATTATAATATCTAATATCTAATACTATTAATTATGATTTTAACCTTTTTTTACATGAT